GTGTTGAGTTGAGTGTAATGAAGGTTCCAGATGTAACTAAACGTTCTTCTGTGATCTGCACTGTACTTTACATTAACCATGTACGTCTGCAGTCAGACTCTCACACACAATGTATTTCACATAAACAAGATATCAGATCATAACTGCATTTTCACAGAGTATCAATACCCACAACACTCGCTTCTGTCCTGTTAAAGGATCATTTGATCAGATTTAAAATGAAGATATTGTAATATTTCCCCAAACATTTTAAAATAAATATATTTGGTTAATATGGCAACATATTCTGAAATACATTTTGGTGTTTAAGATGTATTTCAAATATAATATGAAGATTTAAATATAAATAAAGCATTAGCACAGAGATAAATAAACACTTACAGTGATTTAGCTTGTTTTATTTAAGAGTTTCAGTGAAAATCAAACACTAATCAGATCATTTTCAGTAAAGAAGCTCCTGAGTTTGTAGATCAGGCTGTGCTAATCTTTGTCAGCTGTAGTTCATTGGGATGCAGGTTGCTTCGTGGCTGAAGTGACGCGACTTTTATTTGTTTTCAAATTTTAAAGAAGCAATAACAGCATCCAAAATCAGCCGGAGGAAGATCCTCAGCTTCTCTGCCTTTTTAATCTTCGACTCTATTTCTCTGTTTTCAGGCCGCCGCTTCGCGGTGCTGCTCGTGCTCTGACAGCTCCTCCGTCTTTTTGTTCAGCAGATATTTGATCTCAGCAGAAGAATGAGCAGAGCTGAACCCCCCCGAGAGAATCCTCTCACTCTTCCGCAGACGTCTTATTGATTTCCATATTCAGAAAGGCAGCTCAGCCCCCCTCAGCCTGTCTGAGTCACTCCTCTATCGCTCCATCACATCTCTGCGTCCTCCTTATACACGCTTCACAAACTCCACTGTTCAAATTTACAGCATAGAACTCAACAACACGCTATTTATTGTCACCTTGTTTTGGCATTTATTTGGTGTTTATTTTCCTGAGTAGGCCGAATTTTCCCTGACTGTGACTGCCCCCTACTGGTCAATGGGATCTATAATGAGGAGGGCAGTTATATTTATTCGGTTACCTTTGTGTGAATTTTGATAGATTTGTCCTTTCCTGAGTTCTTTCAAATGCTGATCATTTTACTTCTGCTAAAGTAAGCAATGTTTTTCACTCAGTTCCGTTTTACTTGTTCATATTCAGCTTCTAATTCTCTTTTAGGGTTTAATTGATTCTGTTGTGCTGGTTCAGCTCCTGTTCTGCTTTACTGCTGATCGCTCCTCTCACTCTGGAGCTTTTTATTTTAGACCAAAACAAGAAGATTAGAGCCGAACAGACTTCAGACTTCAGTTCTGATGCTGGTAGATTTTGGATGTACATACTAAGATCGCCTGTCATATTAATAATCATTATTCAATAATACCTCTGACTGAAATGTTAAGTTTAACACCAAAACTTAAACCAGTGGTTTATTCACATTGTAAAGTATTCTGGGAATGAGAGGTTGTGTCACGGTAAAAAGTAATAAATGATATTAAGTAATAAACAGTAATTATTATGTATAGTGGTGATGAATGGGTTAATCTAAATGTTAATAAATGGTTATAAGGATGGTATTTGAGTATTAATGAATGAGTTATGAACGGTTATGAATGGATTAATCAGTGTGTTAACGAATGGGTTAATTTGATTGTTAATGAAAGGTTCTGAATGGGTTAATCTGAGTGTTAATGAATGGGTTAATTTGAGTGGTGATGAACAGATTGATCAGTGTGTTAATGAATGGGTTAATTGGAGTGTTAATGAATGGTTATGCAGAGGTTAATCTGAGTGTTACTGAATGGTTATGAATGGGTTAATTTGAGTGGTAATGAACAGATTAATTTGTGTTAATGAATGGGTTCATCTGATTGTTAATGAATGGTTATGAATGGGTTAATCTGAGTGTTAATGAGCAGTTATGAAGGGGTTAACCTTGGTGTTAATGAGCGGTTATGAAGGAGTTAATCTGGTGTTAATGAACAGGTTAATCTAAATGTTAATTCAGATTATAGATGGGTTAATCTAGTGTTAATGAATGGGTTAATCTAAATGTTAATTCAGATTATAGATGGGTTAATCTAGTGTTAATGAATGGTTATGAATGGGTTAATCTGATTGTTAATGAAGGGATTAATCTGAGGGTTAATGAGCGGTTATGAAGGGGTTAATCTGAGAGTCTCTGAATTAACAGCTCTGAGAGTGTAATCTGAGAACTCTGCTCTGAGAGAGACACTCAGACTTTTTCAGGTCTTATTTCCTGTGTGCGGTGAGAACCGGCGAAAAACGCCAAGTCAGAGTGATCCTGCAGAGAGGATGATGGGAAAAATAGCTTCTAGAGCAGGTGCTCTCGCTCAGGGGTTCCAGCTACCGTCTGTCCACTGCCAGACCACAGCGCTGACCACCAGGCTCATCAATGACCGATTATCAAAGGTCATTTTAGCACAGATTATTTTTACTCAGGAAAGGAAGAATCATAGGATCCATTTCTTTACTCACCTCCTCTGTGTTTTAAAGGGCCCACATCACAGAAAACTGTTTATTGTTACGTTTTAAATAAGAGTTTCTTGTAGTTTGTAAACAAAGCTAAAGTGTAAAAATAAAGCGTTCACATTTCCTCAGTCCATTCAGTCCATATCTGTAAACTAAACGACTAAAGCAGCCTGTTTGAACTCATGACAACTTTGTGAGGTAATAAAACTGACACTGTCACAGAAATCCGCCTATTCAGCCACCAGCAGTTTAGCTCCGCCCATTCATGCTGAAGTTATAAGGAGTGTTTCATCTTACACTGCTTTATGAATGGTTCAGTATGACCAGCCTGACCAAACTGGTTGACCACTATGGCCAACGTGACCAAGCTGGTTGACCATTATGACAAGCTTGATATGCTGGTTGACCAGCATGATCATGTTGACCAAACTAGATGACCAGAACGACCAGTGTGACCAAGCTGGTTGACCATTATAACAAGATTGATATGCTGGTTGACCAGCATTATCATGCCGACCAAACTAGATGACCAGCGTGTCCAAGCAGGCTGACCATCATGAGCAGCCTGGCCAAAATGGCCAACCAGCACGACCAGCTGACCAAACTTGCCAACCAACATGACAAGCTTGACCAAACCCATCAACCACCGTGACCAGCCTGACCAGCTGGTTGACCAGCATGATCATGTTGACAATACTAATTGATCAGAACCACCAGTGTGACCAAACTGGCTAACCAGCATGACCAGCTGACCAAACTGGCCAACCAGCTTGAGTAGCATGATCAACCAGCCCATCAACCTGCTTGACCAGCGGTTGACCAGCATGATCATGCTAACGAATACTCAGAACGACCAGCTTGGCCCAGCTGGTTGACCATCATGACTAGTATGACCAAACTGGTTGACCAGTATGACCAGCATGATGAAGCTAACTGTGAGGTTCTTTCACCAGCTTAACCAGTTGACCAGCATATGGTATGTCAGTGGTCTCCAACCCTGGTCCTGAAGATCCACCTTCCTGTAGAGTCCAGTTCCAACCACAATCTACTAAACCTGCTCCAGCCAATCAGCCTCTTCTCAAGTCCCTGATTGGCTGAATCACATGTATTAGAGGTGGATAAGGGTTGGAACTAAACTCACTCCAGGGCTGGAGACCACTGTGGTGTGTAAACCCCTTAAAATCCCAGGCTTATTACATACTAAAGCCCTATTCAGGCAGGATTAGCTCCCCATGAGGAGGTGGGTGATGCCAGTTAACCTCAGGATGTCTGATGTTTCTGAGAAATTCGCATAGAATAAGAAACCGTGGTATAAATGTCAGAGACAGGGGCCGTTGCTCTATTCTAGGCCACCTTAACTCCAGAAAAGAGTAGAAAAGATGCTAAAACCTTTAATTTAGCCAATATTTTGTTCACATTAACCATTTACCTTTCTGTCTGAAGTGAATACGGCGCGTTATTGGCTGGGAATTCACAGCAAAAAGCCAACATTAAAACATTAAATTAAACATTTTTACATGTTGAGTTTTAGACGTGAAACAGGTGATTTTAGCCAAAGGGAACACAAGGCTGAAGGTCGGCTTCCTGCTCGTCAGCTTCTTGCTCAAATTTTCCCGTTCCACCTTAAATGGTACATTCAGGCACCTCAGGCGTTATGATAATAACTGCCACACATTTAAGGTGGAATGGAAAAATTAAACTACGGCTTCCTCAGAGAACAAGAGTAAGCGCTTCTTCGAGTCTCCATACTTAATAAACTCCATTATCACAGAATATTATAGTGTTTTTATCGACATGTTGATTCGTATGGGATTAATATAGTCTGAGGTTATTTTTTGGCTCGTTTTATAAAAGGTAAAAGGCGCCAGAATCTTTACAGATGCAGGAGCGCACAGTCGGTAAAAATGACTGACCTGACTCATTCGGACGGGACTAAAATGACTGAGAAACGCTGGTAATAATTACATTGCCCACCTCCTCGTGTACAACTAATCCTGCATGGAGAGACTGGAAGGCTTATTATTCAGTAACTAAAGGGAACTCAGTGCAAACTGGCTGAGCTATTCTTGGGTTATAGAAGTGTGTAATAAAGCTTTGGGCCTGCTGGTGGGCCCTGGCCCTTTAAGGGTTTAATGCTTAGTCCAGTTGGATGTCCAGCTGGCCAACCACTTTGACCTTCTTAGACCATTAAAAATATAGAATATAAACAATGAAACACCAGCTCAGACCATCTGAAACCAGCTGCACGGGGATTCTTACATCTCAAAACCTGTGCAGTTGAATCACTGTCAGATAAAAATGGGTTACAGTCAGTTAATATTCTATGCTGCGTGTGCTGTGCAGACGGGTGTAAAGGGAATTGGCACAAATGTTTTAGTAATATAATGTTCTTCACTCCATAGAAAAAGCTAGAGTCTGTGCGCCTGACTGTGTGGAGCTGTATGGTTAATGAAAAGTTGGTGTGTGAGTGAGAGCTACACTGACTCTTCTCATCATTTATTCTGCTTATTTCTCATCATCCATTGACTCCTGCCAGCTCCAGAGTCTTCTGCATGATGTTCTTATTGAAGGGCATGACGAAGTCCTTAAAGTCCACTTCATGAGTCAGACGCTTCCTTCTGTCCACCCTTCTCTCCATGTGCTGGGCGGAAGTAGCCAACCTCCGTCCCCACACCTACGACACACATACAGAGAGTGAAGAACATGTAGACTTTATTCGAGGCCCAGTCCCATTTCTTATTTTTACCCCTTCCCCTGTTTTCGAGTGTTGCCCCTTGGAACTGAGTTACAGGGTAGTGGTTGAGATCTTCCTCTGAAATGGGACCCTCAAATAAAAAGAGCATCACTTCATTAACAGCTACCAGCGCTGCTCTGTAGGCGACCCTGCCAGTCTGCAGTGACAGCAGAGGAGGGTAAAGTTCAGCTCCTCACTGCTGGGCTTCAGTTACATTTAGGGCATCATATGCCTTCAAAGAGGGGGGCAATTATTTATTATCACCCACCCCTAATTCTTCAGTGATATGAAGCTGAAGTCAGATATTCACCAGATTCTTGTTCGAATTTTCCCGTTCCACCTTAAATGGTGCAGCAGTTACATTCTGGGGCCTCAGACATCAGAACTCCATTTAAGGTGGAATGGGAAATTTAGCTAGCTACCGAGACGTTAGCATACTGGTAGTGATTTTTTTATACTTGCTATGAAGAAAAGGACCAAAATACACTGAAATGGCATTAAACTAAGATAAAACGATGGTTATCGTAATTTTTAACAGAGAAAATTCTCACATTTGTGGGTGTCTTTGGTCTCTTGTGCTCCATCTTGCTGGCTTTTTCTTTTTTCTCTTTACACTGTTTAGAGTGAGTCTCTGAAAAACCCACCTTGGCATTGCAGCATGAAGGTCACTTTGGGGTCATCTTTATGATGCAGCACCCTAGCCCCTCTTTCGTAAAAGCATGCCAAAATAAAATTCCTTTGTTTTTGCTTGTGCTGCCTGACATTTGAGGAAGGCAGTGAGTTGAGCTCTTTGAAAACTGCCTTAAAACCTCTTATTGACCAGGGTATATTTTGGTTTGTCCATCTGTATTTCCATGACCAAATCATAAGGCACATTATTCAGTAACTGCATGCAATAACTGTAAATTTTATTTATTTATTCATTTTTTTGTAAAAGCTCCCCTCAGATGAACAGAACGTGTTTTATGATCACACATATTGCTATATGCTTACAATTTACTGCTGAAAGCCAAAAATCTTAGACGCTCTTTGTATTTTTTTATAAAGTAATGTTTACAGAGCAGATCACTGAAGAGACGCCATCTGTTTATAGTTTATAGCCCAGATTTGTGGAAAAATGGGTCGACTTTCAGTAGAAAAAGAAATTGTGAGTTCAGCTTCTTTTATTATAAGGATTTAAAATTACATCACCATCTATTTGACTGGAAAGAAGACAGTTACAGCCTCATACGACCCCCACCTTTAGAATGTAGCTTATGAAATATGAAAGTTATGAAGAATATGACAAAGTGTGTTTTGGAACCACCGGTGGTCTCAAGGAGTTGAAAAGGTTAATTTGCACATTTTTTATTTAAAGGTTTTCAAACACAAAATCATGCCAAACTATTTTATTATAATTTTATAAAACTCAGTGACCTTTTGTGGTAGTTTACATAGTCAACAGCTGCGTCATCTGTAATTTTGAGCGTTTTGGAAGCAAAAAAAACGAAATGAATTTTCTATGGATGCACTGAAAATTGTTACACATAAAAGAGGTATTGTTGAATAATCTTATGTGTGTCATGTTTTTATTAAACTATTTTTTTGGAAAATAATGGACACAAAAAATGCACATCATATCAATGGCCCATATAACAGTGTTGAACTTTTAATAGTGGACTTAATTTCATGCAAAGCCATTTCATTGTGTAGCAGTGTTAGCTCTAGTGAAATAGATTTAGATCTCACCATTCAGAGGATTCGCTGACGTGTGGGGAAAACGTGTTGGGTCTACTAGCTTAAATCAGCAAAATATGTCACTAAAAACAGCTGCAGCCATCTGGAAGCATATATGTTATCCATACAGTGTCAGAATCACAATCAAGTCTATTAGATTGTTAGTTGAACTCCACGCACTTTGAGGCAAGCATGTGATGATTCAGGTGCTTGAAATATCATCAATAAAGCACAAAATAATCTCTTTAAGAAAGTGTCATAATTGGTTATTTTGAACAACAACCAACGACCGTCAGTAAGGGAAATTCTTAAACTCTGGGAGCTCTGAATCTCTGAGGTTCATAGCAGTTAGATAGCATTGTGGGTAACGGTGCAGTGTGATGGAGACTGGAGTTGAAAAACACTGAACACTGTTTTTTTCCTCTAAAACATGATTATAGTGTCTCTCCTGATAAAAGTGGCTACAATTTGCTGTAAATTAAACTTAAAAAGTTTTATTCATGTTCATGTTGCTCTTATCGCTGAACTATTCTGTTGTAAGTGACTCACAGTTTTCGGTACAAAGCGGATGTCGAACTTGTCAGTGGAAGCTGGGATGGTGCTCTGGGGGTTCATTGTTATGATGTTCTCTTTCAGGTTCACTTTCTTCTCCAATGTGTTTGGCAGAGCGGGACCCACCTGCAGCACACAGAGACGGTGTATCAATCACTACTGACTGGAGACAAAGACAGTGAAAGAAATGTTGGTAACACTTTACTGTAGGGTACAGTTCATAAGGCTACATGACACGCTTATCATGATAACTGACATAGATCTGCATAAATGTTTATTAATGCTTTTTCCAATAGGCGTCATCTGTCATAAAGGCTACTGTGATCAAAATTGGCAAATGTAACCTTTATAGCGAATAACGCCAATTGGAATAAGCATTAATAAACATTTATGTAGGATTATATCAGTTGTCATGACAAGCTTATGTAGGTGTCATGTAGCCTTATGAACTGTACCCTACAGTAAAGCGCTACCGAAATGTTTTCGTCAGTTTCACCTTCACCGCTAAGGGAACGATTGGTTTCAGTTTTGGAGACTGTTTTCCTCCTTTTCCTTTCTTGCTGTCTTTGCACTTTGGCAGGCTGTCGAACTTCATTTTGACCAAGTCAATGATTCTTTCATCTCCGTACTGCCTGGCAATGTCCAAGCAGTTTTGCTCTGCGAAGGAAAACATATGTTGTGGTCACAGATGTGCACAACAGAGCAAAAGTACAGAAGCACGTATTAATTCAAAGAAATGTTTTGACATCTAGTTTGACATTTTTCCAAAACAATGAGTGCGTTTACATGCACTCAATAATCCGATCACAATCTGATCATTCAAATGGTCATGTAAACAGCACACTCTGGTTTCTTAGATCGGACTAAGATCTAGAAATCTGATAAAGAGGCTGGATTTTAGCTCAGTAATCAGATTTCTCAGTGCTGTAAACTCTTACTCTGATTTCTTTCGGATTTCTCAGTCTGAGCGTGTGTGAAAACAAATGGCTATACTAAAAATAAGCAGCAGCGTCGCCGCAAAACACTTTTGGAGCGACACTGAAACCAAATACATGCTTGAAGAAATTAGGGATCTAAATATTCTTCATCTTTTAGAAAAAATGTTTAGTCAGTTCAACCTAAAAAACATTGCCCTGGCCTGAGCAATATTGTGGCAAGGGATTAAGCATGAAGTTGGTAAGGTTGGGTAGATTGACACCAATTTAACGGCATGAGATCTTGAAACAATACCCGGGAAATTACTAATAATGTGAACAGACATGTAGATCACAGCTGTGGAATGTTTCTGTGATGCTTTGTATGTATCTTGTACGTGATCCTATAGAGAAATGGCAAGTCAAGTTTTCAGATTTTGCTAAAGAAGAGCACTGAAGGAGTTCACACAGAGGATATCATACGAAGACAGTGTTTCCTCCAAACTGTTTGCCTGTAGTGCATGTATATGACAATGGTACCACATACAGAACATTTCAGTTGGTATTTGATTAAGAAAATACACCAACAGTCCCTCACTCTGGTCTCGTACCTTTCTTATTTTCAGCCTGTACTTTCGCTCCAGCTTTGATGAGGTAATCCACACAGCTGATCCTGCAGCTCTCTATGGCCCTCATGAGTGGAGTGGCTCCATTTAAAGCCACAGCGTCCACCACAGCACCGGACTGTACCAGGAGGTCAATGATATCCACCTGTCCAGTGTGGCAAGCATGGTGAAGAGGGGTCCAGTTAAACTGATCACAGGCGTTTACGTCGGCCCTGTACATTGGTAGAAGGGGGTAACAGTGTTATCACTGCAAACACAGCACAGATTACCCATAGATTCCCAAATTTCTAGACACAAATTATTCCCATCAGACATGAGGGTAAAATGGTATTAATAAAATAAAAAGGGTAAAATGGTATTAATAAAATATTTAAAATTTACTTAAGTTGTTGATTATGGCTCTTATTGAAAGTGTAGGGACATTCGTAAATAACAAGCCACAGTTATGCATTTTTATCATGTAAATGATTTACTGGGAAATATTGATATCTATATCTCTCCCTATCGCTTTCTCTCTCTCTCTATGTAAAATATATTCAAGCTTATTGTTAAATATCAGGAATTAAAGGCATCTATTGAGTACTTAGGTTGATATCAGTATTGGCACTCGGTATCGGCTGATACTTGAGGATCAGGCATCAGTATTGAAAAGGAAAAAGTGGTATCGCTGCAAACCTAGTTGTATCTGCACATTCGGCCCAAACCTGGCACAAGACAAGCTATTTTGTCAAGCCCTGTGAAGCTAGCAGGCCCCTAGTGGACATTAGATTTTTGTGATCGCATTATTTGTCGATAAATGTGAACTGGGCTTTGGTATTCTTACCCCAGAGTGATGAGGAATTTTGCTATCTGGTAGCTGCCGCTGCTGCAGGCCGTCATCAGGGGTGTTTTGTAGAACGGATCTTTGACGTCCACAGGAACCTCCTGGCTGAAGGCCAAGCAGAGGGACTCGAAGTCTCCGGTTTTGATGCAGTAGTTGATGTTTGTGTAGATTTTTTGTGGCTCCTCGAGGTACCAGGCCGAATCGTCCTCCACCGGATGGCTCGGAGGACAGTCCCTGTTAAAGCGCTTGGTGTCCGTGTACTGCTGATAACTTTCAATCATGAAGTTTGGTGGTCCACCGTCCTCTCTTCTGGGCATCAGCTCAGGAGGCACGGTGCAGATGGGCAGAGGGAGGACAAATTTACCTTTTTTCTTTCCTTTGCCTCCCTTTCCAGCCTTCTTCTTTTTGGGGGCGTAGGAAGACAGGATGAACGCTTTCTGGAGGTACGTCAGGCCCTTGAAGAATTCGTCAACGTTGATAACACCCTCTCGTTTCTTGTCATGGTCCATTACGATCTTCTGTAGGTTGTCCTGGTCTACGGGTGCACAGTGCTCCTGCAGCACAGACACAAACACATCCCTGGAGATGTTCTCTAAAGGTCCGTCTGCCTCTGCCGCCATCTCAAAGGCTTTTCTGAGGACGTTCTCGTGCTCACAGGACCAGTCATGCAGCCTAAGGGCCCAAAGTTCATTGGGGTTATTGGCTTCCGGTTTGGAGAACTTTGCGTGGAGTCTCTCTGCCTTCTTCAGCTCCTTCAGAGCAGCTTTGTGGCCGTTATCCTTCGCAATCTGACGAGGAACCAGACCCTCCAGGTTCTTCAGTTTTGGGTTGCAACCTGTTATTAAAAAGATTTGCAATATATTTTCACATTTAAGCCTTAGCTTCATATTCTTCTTTGCACTTTATCTATATATCAATTACCCCAGGATGGTCACAGCTCACCTCTCTGAGCCAGAAACCTGCAGCAGTCCGTGTATCCGCCAGCAGCAGCCAGGTGGAGGGGTGTGTTTCCATTCAAATCTATAGCACTGAAGTCTGCGGAATTGGCAGAGAGCACCTGGATCACCTGAATAATTAATGTAACATTATTAGTCAGGATTAATCGCATTAGCTAGTGTAGTTATTGTGATTATTTGCATTTCTGGTATAATGCTCCAATTGCTCTAATACGGCTTTAAAGAGTGGACAAAATAGGCTTAATAAGAACGTGAGCACTACTTTTAGTAATTCAACTTGAATCTGAATGTAAAATCACTTGCGTGCAGGTTGAGCATGAAAGTTTCCAATTTTCATCGCTGACGTCCAGTGAGAGCAACAGTGTCTGCATGTTTCAACCAAAGACTGTCTATACAAGTTTGAATTCCTTGGTCACAATGCATGTTTTGTAGATGAAGTGAAGTTTTTTTTTAGTATTTGCACCCGAAGGTACAGTAAAGAAAGCAGAATACGAAGAAAGAAAACAGCAAAAAAGAGAAAATGTGCAAGGAAAGTGAAAAAAGCCCAGAACAGGCTTGTACAAAGTAAAAATGTATGAAATTAAATAAAATAAAAAAAACAAACAGACAAAAACAATCACAAAAACCACAAGCACAATGTTCTACATTTAGTTTGTTAGTATGAGAGCAGATAAGTTTTTTTGAGACAAGTACAGTTTCCAAATAAAAGGTCCTCGATGAGAGAATGTAGAATAAAATACTTAAATATGGCATTTTCTGCATATGTTACTGCACACATTTTATTTATTTATTTATTTATTTATTTGCTTGCTGATTTTAACATATTAACTTAAAATATAAAACATGCAAAATCTTTTGTACTGGCCAAATTTATTTATTTTCCCTGAATGTGTTAAAGTCAGAAATTAAACAGTAACGCTGTATTAAAATGTGCAGAACTGTGTCTCTGTAAAGGATGTTTAACATATTTACACTCCGAAAATCTAAAACATGGAATTTGACCAGGGAATTCAAAGGTTTGCATACGACTGTGATCTTTAAATGATCCTCTCGTGCCTCAAAGAATCCTCCGTGTGCTGCCAGGTGTGCGGCGTGGAGTCTCTTCTTGTCGACGGCGTTTGGGTTCCCTCCTCTCTGCAGGATGGCCCTGACCAGCCCCACCGCCCCAAACCTTGCCGCCTCCATCAGGGCCGTACGGCCAGTGGCCTGCAGGAAAAACACCACCTAGTTATCTCCAGAGGATGGACAGGGGCACTTTTATCATCTTTAAACACTTTTTTGTCCAGTGGGTTTTGTCCAGTTTTGTCCAGCAGGATTTAAGCCAAAAAGTTCAAGTTTGTCCAATAGGAGAAGATGGAGGGGATATTCATACCAGACGACTCCTACTTAATCATCCACCCACACATCCTGTATTCATCATTTTAATTTTAGAGCGGGACCCACATTGATAGAACAGCTGCAGTCAATGTACTCAAATACATCATTTTCATACGAACAAGATACAGTTTACTTCTGGCAACAATCGTGGAGATGTAGGATCAATATCTACTATGAATTATTCAGTATATACTATTAATATTGAGTGTTTGCCATGAATTATTTAGTATCCTTTTTAGTAACTATTTAGTATTTACTATGAAGTATTCAGTACCTACTCTGAATTATTCAGCAACCACTATGATTTATTAATTAACTACTATGGATTATTCAGTATCTACTATGAATATTAAGTGTTTGCCATGAATTATTGAGTAACTACCAGGATTTTTTCAGCATCTACTTTGAATTATTAATTAACTACTATGAATTTTTCTGCATCTACTATGAATTATTAACTATTATAAATGTATCAGCATCTACTACAAATTATTCCGTATCCACAATTAATTGTTCTGTCTCCTCTATAAAATTAACGTGCAAGTTCTGTATTTAGGAGAGTGAAGAACTCAAATGTGGACCCACATACAAGTTGGCAAATCAAGGCTCCTAAAGGGTTCTTGGCCTGGACATACAGTTCTAGGTAAAAACATTAAATGATATAGAAATATGGCTACATTATGGTTTAGGTCCTTTAAACTTAAAAAAATGTTCTTTACACTCGCATATCTCGTTTACAAAATGTATTCCACAGAACAATCCACCGTAAGGTTCTTTAAGGACCCAAAATTGGTTCTTCTATGGCACTGCTCCACAGAACCTTTTTCTGACACCACTGTGGGGTTTCAATTGTTAAAATGGTGTTAAAACTCAAAAACTCGCACCTGATCTGTGGCGTTAGGATCAGCTCCTCTCTCTAAGATACTGAAGCACATGTTCTCACACTCGTCTGCGTGTTCACAGGCCTGCAGGAACACAGGCTTTCCAGTGTTGGAGATGTTGTTGACGTTTGCGTTGCTGTTGAGCGCCACCTGCAGGCAGCGTGTGTGCCTCTTAGTGGGAAATATGCAGTAGAACAGCACTCCTGCAGAGTAACAGTGCATATAACAGAGAACACAGAGCAGAACATCATTACAGTTATCAATACTAATCAGGATAATTTTGAAAAAGCAGAATATTATCTCCTCAAATGACATTTAAACACAAACACATCAGAGATAAGACAATCCTTTATTAGTCCCACAACAGGGACATTCTTAGTGTTACAACAGCAAAGGGAGAGCAAGACACTCAAGAAAAGAAAAAGAAGTTACAAGAAGAGAATAAACAAGCAAGTAATTAACCTTCATAATTACTTAACAAGGTTTTTTACAGTTTGTCACTTGTTACTAAATAGACAATATATATAAAAATATATAAAGATAAAATTATAAACTCTATATATATAACTCTAAATAAATAAAAGCTAAAATATTTACACTGTAAGGAAATTTACCTGAATTTCACATAGAGTACAGAGTATAGCTGTACCTTGTAAATGATCTGCCACATTATGCTTAATTGTAATGTATAAAGAGTTTTAAAATGTATAATTTTGTCTCAGCTTTTCTCCATTATCTTTAATTTTTTACCTAGTTCATAAATTCATAGGCTTTTTTTAAAAGATATATTTATCATTATTTTTATTAACAATAATAACAACTCTACTGAACTCAAAGACATTTTGTTGGCATGAACATGTTAAGTTACAGGGCTGCCAAAGCATTGAATCTTACACAGGCTTATATAAACAGCACTATTTTGACTATAAATTTATATTTGCCACAGTTCAAAATTCACACTGATGAATATTAATAATCGCTGTTGAATATTAATAATTGCTGGTTCAGTATAACTTATACCGCGTAAATTAAAATGTTATAAACTAGACACCAAAACATAAACCAATGATTTATTCAAAACAAAGTATTTGGGGAACAGCAAGAAGTTGTGAGATGGCAAAAACAGCAAACTATTTTCTTCTGACAAAAAAAAACTAAACTAAAATAGCTTTTTGATTAGTGAAGTTCATTCTTACCACTGCATGACCAGCAAACACAGCTTTGAACAGCTGTTCACACAGAAAATCATCATATTTATCATTAAAACACTAAAAAGTGCTGAACTGCAGAAAATATGACGATTCTTAATGTTCCTCACTGATTTTCAGACTTTGGGACTCATTTACTTTAAAACAATGGGATCTAACTGCTCACCATGTGGCCATGAGGGACAGGGATGCAGCCTCACTTCCTGCTCTAAAACCCACAGATTAAAACTCCTTGTATTTCAGTAGTCATGTGAAAAAATGGGACAGCATTTATCGTTTAAAACTTAAACTCATCTAAATCTTTTAGCATCACTTTAAAACAAATCAAAAAAATTTAAAAACATTGAAAAAATACAAAGAATTATTATTTTCAAGTGTAAATTTAATGGTTAGGGTTTCACAGCTCCCAATAGAAGGTACCCTATGAATTAATATTTAGCTTATTACTATTTCTATTAATGCCTCAGGTTTAAATAGATCATATCATAATCCTTGTAAACGTCTAAGATTTAAATACTTAATTGTTGTGTAAATACTTTTACACAACTGTAATAGTACAGGAGACTAATTCAGTAAAATGCTCCAGGTACATTATATTACAATGTGCTGTTATTCTACTCACAGTGGAAAACACGAGCTCACCTTTCCCCTCACTGTCCACCACGTTCATATCAGCATGATTTTGGGCCAGAAGGGCCACCATACCGTCATGGCCCAGTTCTGCGGCCAGTATGGCTGGCGTTCGGCCTCTTTTGTCCTGAATGTTGGGGTTTGCCCCCAGGCTCAGCAGAAACTGCACCGTGTCCAGGTCGTTGGTCAGTGCGGCGAGGTGCACGGCCCCGTTCCCCTCGGCCGGTTCGGTCAGGTTGATCAGGTTTTGGACCCCGAGGCGAATCAGCTTCTCTATCTGTGGTTTATCTCCCTCTCGCACAAACTGCAGGAGTTTATAAACCTGAAGAACCTCCAGACGCCCCTCAGCCACCGCAGGCTTCACAAACCCTCCAGGAACCATCTGTAGAAGACAGAAGAGGAACCAGAACTCTGAGTTTTGCATCAAGTTCTTGGCACATGTGTTCTAGATCTGCAGCGAACTGCTCAGATCACAGCAAAACTTGGGTCAAACCATGTAGGGCAGATCTTTGCGTTTAATGTCTCACACTGCATGAAGACTTGGCCATATACTACTATATTTTGATTAAAGGGGAATTCCACCCATTTTTCAAAATTTCTCCATAACTAAGGGGTTAGAATGTAAGCAGCGTGGTTCAGGGTGGTTTGGTGTGAAACGCTCTGTTCTAGAGAAACTTACTGAGTCAGAACTGTTCACAGTGGTGGTGATAGGAACCAGACGTCCACCTCTAAAAGCTCCCTCACAGAAAGTTCCTACATGAAATGGTTATGAATTCACTGCCTGATGACTGAGACACTGTTTCTCTCTCTCTCTATGTGTGTGTGTGTGTGTGTGTGTGTGTGTATATATATATATATATATATATATATATGAGTTCCAGGCGCCACAGGAGCTCGTCCCCACAGTCATGTGTAAAGGGTGAGGCCATATTTTGAGGTAAAAAGCCTCTGTTGTTCTGCAATTTTAGCTGCAATAATCTATACATGACTATGAAATATATGAATTAAATGACAAAGAAAACAAATGCCAAATAAATATTATAAAATATATAATAAAAGTCGTGTCACTGGTGTTACCGCACAACAAAAAATCTCTTATTTTGAAATAAAAGTCACACTAACTCTATTCTGAGGTAATTGTGAAAAAATAGAACACAAATGGATTAAATTACATATTTTAGCAACCATTTTGTAAAATACATTTTTCATTAAAAATGTCTCTGGTGTGTAACACCAATGAGGATCAGTAACACCAGTGACTCTTATGGATCTTTCTCTCTCTATATATACATCATCATTGTTAACCTCTTAATCCAGCTAGGGTCGTGGTATATATACATATGTATATAAAATGCAAAGCAAGAAAACCCACTTTTTAACATCTTCAACATTCCATATAAAAACTCTCGTGTAGGTTCACTGGTGGCTTTGGATAGTAAATAAAATGGTAGAGGTGGACGTCTGGTTTCTATCACCACCACTGTGAACATTTTTTTTCCAGTTCTGTAGATCAGAGAATTTGCCAAACCCCTCTGGATGACTTTTTTATCTCTTAAATATCTAATTTAGTACAATTCCCCTTTAAAGCCTGCTTTCCTGACTTTCCTCCCTGGTTTGTCTCTTGTTTTCCAATCTTGTTTGATCATTATCTCACCTTGCAGTGCAGTTGAAGATGTTCCCATTTGAAATGACACTGATGAAGCTCTGTGATGAGGGGCACAAGCCCAGTCGCCTGGTCTAATAAGCCCAGACAATCCAAAGACTGGAAAATAGCCTAGAGCAGTGTTTCTCAGCCCTGGTGCCCTGCACTTTTTCTCAGCCCTGGTCCTGGAGGCTCACTGCCCTGCACTTTTTAGTGTTTTCTCTGCTCCCAACACACCTGATCCAATTAATCGACTCATTACCCATTATCGAGTTAAAGTGGCTGCTGAAGCAGGAAAAGCACTCAAATGTGCAGGACAGTGGGCCTCCAGGGCCAGGGCTGAGAAACACTGGTCTACAGGCTAAACAAAATCAGACTAACCACCTGCAGATGTCTGATTCTGTGCTGGTATAAACAGAATGTGCTGCTAGGAACACAGAAAACACAAAAAGATCCCACATCTTTAAAGCATGTCATGATTTGGCTCTGTTTGAAGCCTTCAGGGCCAAACGCTGCAGGATCTACTCACCCTCAGAGGTCAGAGAGTCAGAGCATTCAGGCTTTCAGCTGCTTCAGTGTTCAGAGAGGAATCAGAACAGTTTCTGGCAGATTAGTCCTCCAGTGAAGGTGCAGCAGCTCAGCGGCGTGTTTCCCATCATCTCCCAGCAACAGTGGACCGCACCAGGCTGACCTCCTGCTATTGATACGGTCATCTATTGTTCGCTGTGCGTTCTGTTTGACATACAATGGACCTAATCAGCGTCATGTCACAACAGGATTTTCTACTAGTCCTGAAAGTTATTTAACCAAGACAGTGGAAAAATAAAGCTTTCTTTATAACTTAACGACCTTATGTGGTCAATTCGTGTCATATAATCATGAACTTACATCAGCCACACTTCACTGCAGGGTTAATACAGAAATATTCCCTTTATAAGAGTGATAAAGAATTGATCCAATTAGGAGTTATAATAACAACGATTATTAATTTAACTGTCCTTGGTCATTTAATGGTCACTCAAGGGCATCTAACTAGGCTAATTAGCTAACGTTACCCTGCTTTGTAGCTTAGTTAGCTTGCTGGCTGAAATGAAACGACATAATAGTGCACCGTTACGCACACACAAGTGTCTATATTTACACGGAAACGTGTGTAAAATCAAATCATCTTTAATTTTTCTGTCGAATTTGAAAATGTGAGCAAAAAGTTGTTCTGAGCCCGCTAGCGTAGATGCTAATAGCGTTAGCCAGCTTCTTAGCTTGTCGAACTCTACAGAGTAATACTTATAAAAATAGCGACCAGCACATCAACACACCGCCCTACTGTACATTCTGGTGAACTTATTAGTCGTGTAATAGTGTTTGGTGAATTAGTCGTGTAATAGTGTTTGGTGACTTCATCTTCATCTGGAGGAGTAAAGAATTCGCTAATGTGTCGTTAGTTTGGGCTGGGGTGGCTAACAAACACAGAGGATCCAGTGTGGTTAAAACTGCTGATAGCAGCTGCTTTAAAAAGCTGGTCGAATATCAGTAAAATACATTTCATACTCGGGTACATTTAACACTGCGGCTTCAAACACAGCATGGTTTTACAGTTTTTGACAAAGTTTTATCTGTTATGTTTTTATTTATTGTAAATCGGGCCGTAAACTGAGGCGCCACTCTGACTAGACGAGACTGGTCCACCCAGAAGTACAGCCAACCTTTCTGTCTAACAGTCTGATTCGGTCTGTAAGAAGAGAAAACAGACCTTTACTCTGTTATTACAGCCCCACCCAGCAGTAGAGACGGTTCTACGAGCGCATGTGCAGCAGTGAAATAACATGAGATGAACAAATGCGCTATATTTCCCTACAAGTGATAATAACAGCATAATTTTACAGCTTTTTTTGCTCCTGTTCACAACTTACTTAACGTTGTTTCTGAGAGTAAATGCTGTTTCTAGTTGTATTCTATTCAGTTACTTAACCTATGTGTGTATATAACGTTACGTGTGTAAATTAATGTTCTCTTTTATTTACCGTTAAAATGTTAGCTCATTAGAGAAGTTGTGCTTTTTCCCCATATCGAACTAAAATATCTTACCTAGAATTTTATTTGTGCCGTGCTATTTATTTATTTATTTATTGGCGAAATGGAAATTTGTTTGTTTTTGGTCAGCCAACCAATCACGGCACGGAGAAAAGGCCGCGCGGTTTCCATAGCAACAACAACACACCGAGAAGCACAGATTAGCATCCTGCTAACCGGGCCTGCATGCATTTGGAGATTTTTTTGGAGGTTTTCTTCCGACAACAGCGATGTATGTATACACACACACACACACACACACACACACACACACACACACACACACTATATATATATATAATGCGAAAGTATAAAACAGCTCAAAATATTGTAAGATTGTATCAGAAAACTGCAGAATTACCGCTCTGCAATGTCTTCCAGGTTTTTCAGACGCTAGAGGGCGCTCCCGAGTGAGTCCAAAATGAATGGGTTGATATGGAGCTTTTGGGCAAAATCATAGTTTATAAATGCTGAAACATTTTTAATGTAAAATAATAAATTAATTTCCTGAACACAGAGCAGCATAAAACATTTTAACACTGCTGTTATATTTTTAAGAGCTTTTAAACTCGAGTTATAGGAATTTAAAACGGCGCCTCATGTACGTTCACGACGTCAGTGAGTGCGAACAGCCAATGAGCTGCTCCGCTCGCCAATCAATCATCACGCTCTAGCAGTAAAGCCCGCCTCCTGCTGCCCAAAACTCGTTTGCTGTAGAATAAAGGAAACATACAGGTGAGATTTCTTTGCTTTTTTAGTGAAACCCATCCTTCTACTGTCTAAAACTAAATGAAAGTTCTGGTTCGGTGATTAGAAACTGAGCACCATTTATTCCCATTCATTGAGGACTCGCTCGTGGGCTCCCTCTGCTGTTTAGCAGTCCTGTTTTTGATATAACGGGGGGAATAGGAAGAGGCCAGACTCCTCATAAACCGGCTCTGATAGTGTCTTACAATGACTTAGTATCACAAATAATAGAGTAATATTAAACAAATAATAATCAGGTGCTGGATTTTATTTTTTATTTTAAGTGGAGGGAAAGGGCTTCCATACACATTTTTCACATGACAGGCGAAGGAATCTCTTTAATTTTAGAAACTTTCTTGTTACTTTGTGCTGTTTTATGCTTTTAAGATAAAAATATAATTAATACATAAATATAAATAATGAGAAAGTAATGACTTAGCATCTCAGTGGCATAGCCATTCACTTAATCATGAAAAAAATAATTAGGTGGTAGGCTTTTTATTTTAAGTGGCCATAAAAATGGTCAAAAGAAAAGATAAGAAAAGAAAAGAAAGAGACTTTTAAAGTAAAAATGAACGCAGCTCGCTGGAGCTGTACCGGCGCGCCCTCTGGCGGCCATTCACGGCCCTACATAAACACATCCGTGAGGCTTTCGTCTGTGTTCGGTAAAGATCGGAAGCCGAATCTGACATGTTTCTCGCTGTAGTGCCACCAGTCCGGGCTAAACCTGCAGAACCATCCCCTTATTGCCCTTCGCTCTGGGTCCACAGTCCACCGGGACTGACCACAGCATGGAGCAGACGGACAAAAAGATCCTGTGCATCGGCTTGGTGTGTCTGGACATCATAAACGTGGTGGATAAATACCCGGAAGAGGACACGGACAGCAGGTTTGCTGCAGGTTTACATAGTAAAACGGTTTTTATTGCTTTTCTTGCGCCGCCTGCATTGTGGAGTGAACAGGTCAGAAATGCTGAGTGCAGAGTCGAGCTGATGCAGCAGTCTGTACTGCATTCTGCATGCTGTGGATGCATTAGAGTAAACTCAGACTGTATAGACCAGAAGCAGGTTTACAGACAGATTCTCCAGTTAATGTATCAGTATCTACACTCACTGTCCATTTTATCAGCTCCACTGACCCTGTAGGAGCACCCTGCAGTTTTACAGTTACAGTAGTCCATCTGTTTCTCTGCATACTTTGTTACTCTGTTCTTCAATGGCCAGGACCCCCACAGGACCCCCACAGGACCCCCAAAGGACCATCACAGTGCTGCTGGAGTTTTTAAACAGTGTGTCCACTCACTGTCCACTCTATTAGACACTCCTACCTTGTCGGTCCACCTTGTAGATGTAAAGTCAGAGACGATAGCTCATCTGCTGCTGCACAGTTTGTGTTGGTCATCCTCTACTCCTTCATCAGTGGTCACAGGACGCTGCCCACAGGACGCTGTTGGCTGGATATTTTTGGTTGGTGGACTATTCTCAGTCCAGCAGTGACACTGAGGTGTTTAAAAACTCCAGCAGCACTGCTGTGTCTGATCCACTCATACCAGCGCAACACACACTAACACACCACCACCACGTCAGTGTTACTGCAGTGCTGAGAATGACCCACCACCCAAATAGTACCTGCTCTGTGAGGGTCCATGGGGGTCCTGACCACTGAAGAACAGGGTAACGAAGTATGCAGAGAAACAGATGGACTACAGTCTGTAACTGTAGAACTACAGAGTGAAACTGTATGGTCAGTGGAGCTGATAAAATGGACAGTGAGTGTAGAAGTGACTAATGAATGAAGTGGCTGATCGGTGTATTTGTGAATGCTGGTAGGTGTTTATCCCAGCGATGGCAGCGAGGAGGAAATGCATCAAACTCCTGCACCATACTTGCCCTGCTGGGGGCGCCCTGCGCTTTTATGGGCTCTGTAGCTCCTGGACCTGTAGCTGAGTAAGTAGCATTTATACAACCATGACTTCTGTTTTATTTGATTGCTCTACATTTCTATGTTTTAATTAGATCTCATAGAAAATCTTTGTGTCTAAAAATGTGCTATAAGAAATGCATATTATTATTATTATTAATGTTATTATTATTATTATTGTTATTATTAATCTGCTGATGCAGATTATCTGCCCTTCAGATTGATGGATAATAGTTCTATATAGCAGCAAAAAGGGTTCTTCTATTGTGACAAGTTTGACATCACAATAATAACAGAACCCTATTTGGTCCCATATAGAACCATATACAAAACATTCTCCATCAGTCTGAAGAACCATTTCACCGTGCAAAAAACCATTTAAGCATGAATTGGTTTTAAATATAACCATTGCCTTTACTAAAGAACCCTTTTTAAGGGTATATCCGGCATTAGAGTTACGGAGAAAATATAACATTTATTTCTATAGGGCTACAAATGCAGTAAAATGAATAGAATACAGCCATTTAAAACTGTAGTACAGCCTTTTTTAAATATCTGCAGATGCCAATATGATTTTGATATCATCATGTGTACTAATCCTAAGTATCATGTCAAAATATATGTGTCACCAGGCCACTGAATTGTACAGCACTGGTAGTAAGTCATGGTAACAGCACCTGTGATGTAACCTTCACTTAGCACTAAACAGGTCCAAAAACTTCTGGAGTGCAGGGTTCCCCTTTAGAACCACAGAGGAACTGTCACCATTTATCAGCATAGGAACTTCGAGGCTGACATTGGCTTTCTATTCAAATTTTCAGTTCCACCTTAAATAGTGCAGTTGTTACATTCAGGCACCTGAGGCCTGACTTTTCAGTTCCACCTTAAATGGCGTAGCTATTGCATTCAGGTGCCTGAGTCCTGAAATTTCAGTTCCACCTTAAATGGTACAGCTGTTACATTCAGGCACCTGAGGCCTGAAATTTCAGTTCCACCTTAAATGGTACAGCTGTTACATTCAGGCACCTGAGGCCTGACTTTTCAGTTCCACCTTAAATGGCTCAGCTGTTACATTCAGGCGCCTGAGGCCTGACTTTTCAGTTCCACCTTAAATGGTGTAGCTATTACATTCAGGTGCCTGAGTCCTGAAATTTCAGTTCCACCTTAAATGGTACAGCTGTTACATTCAGGCACCTGAGGCCTGAAAGCGCCATTTAAGGTGGAACTGAAAATTCTAATTAGAAACTGGTGATTAAGATGTCATCTTCTCTTTTTAGAGCCCAAATTGTTATACCTATCATACAGAAATCACCACACACCTCTGATCATGACCCCTTTTAAAGCTAGACTCTAATCTGGGGCTGTGATACTCTACACTGTTGACACTATCATTATATTGCACTATTATTAATAACCACAGTGCACTTTAGTCATCCATTCCTCGTTTCCTGCTCTTTGCTCTTATCATATTCAGTGTTGATTCTCACTGCACAAGTGTCTTTGTTTGTATGTTTTCTTTCTTAATGATTTATTCTTTTAGCTTCATCTTGAATGACTTTAAAATGTGCGAGATTGACATCTCTCTCCTTCTGGAGCACGCCGAGTGCTCCTTTCCAGCATCTGTAGTTATCAGCAACGAAACCACAGGCAGTCGCACCATCCTGCACATGAACAGGTTTGTGAGTGTCTGAGTGAGAGATCTGTGGGGTTTTGCATTTGTGCATTTGCATATTGTTGCTGTCAGAGCAAAACCTCATAACATTTATGTTTGTTTTTTTTCTCATTTTTTACATTATTTGGAAACTCCAGCTGCTTTTTGCATTTCAACAGGCTGTTTATGTTACTGTGCCTTTAAGACTGTTATGCAAATGAGCTCTGCTTGGATTTGCTTACTCTGCAGATTAAAATTGAGAAATTAAGAATATCAATGCGCACAGCAGGTTTTCAAGCTGTCTGAGTTACGAGGTTTTCTACTGACGGCGACTGTATGTTTTTGCTTCTTATGTATGCTTTATCACTATATCACTGCCTGCACTGTGCACTAGGTGGCGATGTGATCACTAACTGCCCCTGCAGGGGGTTGTTTGTGTCCTGAAGCAGGTGCATGTTTGGTTTACATTCACAGGTTCCATTTAGAAACCGGCCTTTTCCTCTCTCTCCACGTCCGTCCACCTGTGGTTCAGAAACGTCCAGTACCCATGGTTCTAAAGACTGGACCGTGTGCTTCTCTCTTTGCTGTGCTAGTTTCATCGTGGGTGATTTTGTCCGGCGTGGGGTGGACGTTTCGGGCGTTACGTGGCAGCCGTGGGGCGAGACGCCGTGCGCTTGCTGTGTTGTGAGTCCCAGCGCGGGGTCACGCACTGTCGTTCTCTCAGACACGTAAGGCTGGAACGCCGGGTTTCAAATATCACCTGACCATCAGATTCAGTGTGTGATGACCGGTCCACTGCAGAGGCCTCGAATGCATCGAATACTAAGAATGTTATTCTGGGCTCAGATAATTGATAAATGTGATCAACAAAAACGTTTTGGGTCTTTGCTGTGCCTTTAAAGGGGCCATACTCTACAAACACTCCTTATATCCTCTGTATGAATAGGTGAGGCTAAACTGCTGTAGGCTGAATGGGTGGGGCTAAACTGCTATAGGCTGAATGGGTGGGGCTAAACTGCTATAGGCTCAGTGGGTTGGGCTAAATTGCTGTAGGCTGAATAGGTGGAGCTAAACTGCTATAGGCTCAGTGGGTGGGGCTAAATTGCTTTAGGCTGAATAGGTGGAGCAGAGCTAAACTGCTATAGGCTGAATGGGTGGAGCTAAACTGTTGTAGGCTGAATGGGTGGGGCTAAAGTGCTGTAGGCTGAATGGGTGGGGCTGAAGTGCTGCAGGCTGAATGGGTGGGGCTAAACTGCTGTAGGCTGAATGGGTGGAGCTAAAGTACTGTAGGCTAAATGGGTTGGGCTAAAGTGCTGTAGGTTGAATGGGTGGGGTTAAACTGCTGCAGGCTCAATGGGTGGGGCTAAACTGCTGTAGGTTGAATGGGTGGGGTTAAACTGCTGCAGGCTCAAAGGGTGGGGCTAAACTGCTGTAGGCTGAGTGGGTGGTCATCTGGAAATGTGTTCATGGCTGTGACATCACAACCATGATGAATTCAGACAAAAGCAGCTTAATTTCCATGTGTGGACTATATGTCTGGTAGAGTGAACCTTACATTTTGAGACTCTTATTAAAGGAATGATGTATGTATCATGTGAAGTTCTGTTTTCTGAGATGTGGCCCCTTTAAAGAGCTGCTGTTTAAAGTCCCTCTGCAGTGGCTCTGTAATAATCAGACTAATTCAGGTTTAAAGTAGATGGCATTAACAAATCATGGCTTCCTGACCCACACGGTGACCCTGCATGCAGTAATTGGTTGCATTCGTTCGTAATTGAACTGTACATGATTTCATTGTAATTCCAAATGTGATAAGAATTGGATAAATTCTAAGTATGTATATGATAATTTAAACTCTCTGTCGAACACAAAAGCACATGCAAATAGGACTAATGTAGCTGCCTAGTTAGTAAAGTTACACGTACTAGGTATGTGTAGTCATCAAAGGGCCCATACAGTTAATTTTTTTGTATTTAAATTTTATTGGTTGAGGTTTTTGTGGTTTTATGTCATTATTTGTGTTTAAATGTGGAAAATGGTCATGTAGAGTTAAACTGACTGCTGACCTTTAGGACTGATGTATCGCTGTTGTTGGAAGAAAACCTCGTATCTGCACTTTTGTTGCCTTTCAGTTTTTGACATAATTTGAAAATGCCTTTTGCTCTTTACATTGTGTGTAAATTTCATGATGAATGGACTAAAAGAAACGACCCAAAGTGACTTGGAAAAAGATTCTGGTTCCATTGACATACATTAAAAGAAGGTTTTTTCCTTCTCCTGTAAAGTTACTATTTTGGAGATACAAGGTTTTCTTCTGACAACAGTGATATGTTAATTAGCTCTGTTCTGATTGGCTGCCCTGAATTGTGCCTCATTCAAAAAGCTGCCTGGGCTGAAACACTCCTTGTAACTTCAGTGTGAAAGGACGGGGCTAAACTGCTGTAAGATAGATGTAAATGCTTTTATGACATCGCAAGAACAGTTCGTTCAACAGCAGTGATTTATAAATCCTCTTTGTCTTGCGTTCAAACCAAAATAATACAAATACAAGATATGTAATGTTTTATTTTATCAATTTAATTGTTTTTTGTTTTTTTATATTTTATAGTTTATTCTGAAACTGATGCCAACACATTACACAAAAGTTGGGACATGAGCAATTTAAGACTAGGAACATTGTGAAATTTTCAAAAAACATCTAAAAACAGGCGATGCAATCATGCTTGAATATAAAAGGAGCATCCAGGAAAGGCCTTTATGGGTCGAGACCACTTTGCCAAAAATACATCAGCAAAAAATCCAACTGTTTAAAAATAACACAAATTATGTACTTTGCACAGTGAAAGTCATATATCAACAACGGCCAGAAACGCCACCAACTTCTCTGGGCCTTCACATCTGTGAAAGCACCATTATGGCTGATCACGATTTGGAACAACATGCTGCCTTCTTGATGCCGTCTTTTTCAGAGACGTCCATGTTTATTTAAAAATGACACGCCAAGAAACATTCTGCACGTGTTACAGAAGCATGACTGCGTAATCAGAGAATGCGGGTGCTAGACTGACCTGCCTGGAGTCCATGGAGTTAAAAACTGTCTCCCATTGAAAACTTATTGAACTCAAAATATGATAACAAAGGACCTGTAAACGGCACACCGGACAAACTGCGCTATGCGATGCTTTTTGTTTGTGGTTATGGGAACCAGATGTCTGAGGAGTTTAACTAAAAGCTCCCTCACAAAAACTTATTGCATGAAATGGTTATGATGATAAATGTGATAAAGTTTTGGTCTAAGACATTAATTAATTTATTTTAATCAATTCATGGTAGAAGGATACATGAAACATGATCTAAGGTAAAATAAAAAAAAGACTTTATTTCAGATTTTCCACTATTTTCCATCATCAACATTCCATATAAACTCAGAAGACTCGTGTAGGTTCACTGGTGGTTTTGTTAGTAAATAAAATGTCTATATTTGTGTTGTAGTCATGGCGACCCCTGGTTCCTATCACCACCACTGTAAAGACATCTGAACCATTTCACACCAAACCTCTCTGAATCTCTCTGATTACATCTCACACACTAAACTATGGAGAAAATTAGAAAAATCTGTGGAATTCCCCTTTAAGGGCTGTTAAAAAGGAAGCTAATACAACACAGAGGTAAACATGCTCCTGTCCCAACTTTTCTGGAACATACTGCATATTGAAGTTCATGCAGTAAAACATCAGATGTTGTGTTTTGTACTGTTTTCAGTTTAAAACAGCTCAAACAGAATTTACTAATCACTGCTTTCATTAACATTTCACACACTGACCCACATTTTCTTTGGAATTGGGTTTGTATATTAACTCTTATTTTGAAAAATTTGGAGAATTCAGTTTTCTGTGATATGGGCCCATTAAAGCTTCTCCCAGATTTTGCGTTTTTCTCGTTTATTCTGACTGAAATTTTTGTCTGAAGTCGTGAGGTCGCCTGTCTCAGAGCTTATCAGCATTTGTTCTGGTCTGATTGATTCGGTGCAGTTAAACGGCGACTGGATCGTCCTTTGTTCTTTCAGATATCAGCACTGAGCTGATTCACTGCAACTCTTTCTAATACAGGAGAAGAATCACAGCCAGGATTACGCAACGAACACAGAAACGTTTTTCTTCTTGCCGCAATAAAGTTACATAAGTATATAGTTTATAGCGTGGTTGGTGTTGTTGATTATCAGAGAGCAGTCGTGCCGGCTGAATGCAGAGTGAGTGTCTGTTCAATGGACTGTAAAGGTCACAGTAAAGAGACGTGTGGCGTAATTTCTCTTATCTGCTCTCTGTCTGATCAGAAACCTGCCTGATGTGACAGCGGAGGATTTCTCAAAGCTGGACCTGAGCCAGTATAAGTGGATTCACTGGGAGGTGAGATCAGACTGTGCACTTTTATCTAGAAATGTTCACATTTTACTGAAGACAAAGCCAGTCATTCACCATCAAAACCACCAGTGAACCTACAGGTGTCTGCTGAGTGTTTTTATGGAATGTGAGTGGTGGGAAAATAGTGGAAAATCTGAAATAATAATAATCCCTCCTCCATGTGTGGATTTAAGACCAGAAAACCTCATCAGAGCATCACTTTGTGTCACCATTTTTTGCTTACTTTTTTCTTTTCACGTCTCTGGGCCACTTCACGACAAGCCTATCAAAAAGAAATAAAAGTTTGGATGATGTGGCGATTTTAATTAACTTTAGCAGTTGTGGGCTACTGGTGTTCCTGCAGCCCCAGCAGCAAAATTTATTATCATCATTATTTTTATTATTATTATCGTCCAGAGGGGCAGCCCAGCAAAAGAGGGCAGATGGGCTGTTGCTCGGGCAACTTTAGACCTTGTGCACATCCCTGTATCAGATGATCAGATCTAATTAATAGGCCTGGATCCAAACCTGACAGGGCTGCATTTTGTCCCAGCTGGTTAGCCGTAGCTCATTGTTTGTGCCTCTGTAGGGTCGTAATGCAGAGGAGCAGGTGAAGATGATTGAACAGGTGAGGGAATATAACAGCAAACAGGACAAGAACAACCAGATCACCATCTCGGTGGAGATAGAGAAAACCCGAGAGCCGCTCTACCAGCTTTTCCCTCACGGAGACGTGGTAGGACTTTCACCATGTTAGTTAAAGGACATGTTATTTATACATACTGGTTGAAAACACTGTTCTCTGAGCGTCTCCACTGAGAGATTGAAACAGATTTCAGATTGAAACATGTAGCTTTATGATTTACTTCATAGATAAATGAGTTTTATGCTTCTGTTGTGCAGGTTTTTGTCAGTAAGGATGTGGCTGTACACTTTGGGTTCCAGTCAGCCGTGAGTGCTCTGAAGGGTTTTTATAGCCGAGTGAGGAAAGGGTAAGTCACACTGACAAACAAGAAAATCAATAAAAGCAATATTAAACCATTCGAATAAAGATAAACTGTACATCAACAGATGCACAATCTGCAAATGTACACCTACACAGTGCAGCCAGAAGGTGGGTGTTTCTAATAAAGTGGCCAGTTAGTGAATATACAAGGGTGGTGTTTCTAATAAAGTGGCCAGTTAGTGGAAGCACAAGGGTGGTGTTTCTGATAAAGTGGCCAGTTAGTGGAAGCACAAGGTAGGTGTTTCTAATAAAGTGGCCATTTAGTGAATATACAAGGGTGGTGTTTCTAATAAAGTGGCCAGTTAGTAAATACACAAGGGTGGTGTTTTCAGTAAAGTGGCCAGTTAGTGGAAGCACAAGGTGGTTGTTTCTAATAAAGTGGCCAGTTAGTGAATATACAGGGTTAGTGTTTCTAATAAAGTGGCCAGTTAGTATATACCTCAACCATGTATACAAATTATGCATGCAAGCAAATGGGCCCTGTACAGAGGCGGCCACTAGATGACGCCAATGCTCTATGAGATTTATCACAGACTTCAGTGCTGCCACATTTATAGTTGGACTTTCCTTTTCTTCCTTTTTGCTCTGCAGAGCTAAATATATTTATGCAAGTTTAATATCAAACTTCCAGGGCTGTGCTGATCTGTGCCTGGGCAGAAAAGGGTGCGGACGCGATGGGTCCAGATGGAGTTGTGGTCCACTCTGATGCTTTTCCCCCTGAGAAAGTTGTAGACACACTCGGCGCAGGGGACACGTTTAATGCATCCGTCATCTACACTCTGTCAAGGGGTAATCCTGCCTGTCATGTATGATATACATGCATACATACATATACATATACATATATATATATACACACACACATATATATATATATATATATATGCATATGTGTTTGTGTGTGTGTGTCGGAAGAAAACCTCGTATCTCCATTTTTGTTGTTTTTCAGTTTTGGTCATAATTTGAAAATAACTGTTGTTCTTTACATTGTGTGTAAATTTCATGATGAATGGACCAAAAGAAACGGCCCAGAATGACTTGGGGGGGAAAAAAGTCTGGTTCCATTGACTTACATTAAAAGGAAAGCAGGTTTTTTCCTTCTCCTGTAAAGTTACCATTTTGGAGATACAAGGTTTTCTTCCAATTCCAATATATATATATATATTACACATTTTGATCCCTTTACCCCAAATAGTTCTGGAGCTACAATGGTAATGTAGCTAACAAGTAATGGAAGCTAATAACCCAACAATTAGCATGGTGCTGACTGTTTTTCTGTATTATCATATGCTTGTCTCAAGCAGTGTGTTGTTGTTCAGTTCTCCCTAATAGACCTGATTATGTGGTTACACTGTATGACAAAGACGGAAACTCGACACGTCGTGTGTCAGTTCTGTTGCGGTTATGCAGAGTCTTTTAGTGCTGTTTAGAAAAATAAGACAATAACTTACAAAAGTAGGTTTACTTAATCATCTAAAATGGTTGTATTTGAAAACATATAACCTAATATAAACAAAAGTGCCAGTAATTTGAATTATACCATGATTAAATGTTTGCCAATACCACACACTTCTAGTTACGAGCATGTTTAAAGGCTTTTTGAACAACACCGTCCTGCTTAACACACAGTCCGCATATTTGCAGTATTCAGAGCGAGTCCTGTTTAGGGCTCTGTTTTAGCTTTTCCTGACTGAAGCGTTAATAAACTACCAAAATCTTTCCACTCTTAAAGCAGGCCTTTGACTTTGTGCCATATAACTGTGAAGCGTCAGCTTAAATCTGCTCCGTTCTCCTTTCTGCAGGGGGGAGTCTACAGGAAGCGCTCACATTTGGTTGCCAGATTGCCGGCAAAAAGTGCGGTATCCATGGATACGATGGGATTCTGCAGTGAACGTGGTGCAAAAGAGAAGAACAGTGATGCAGAACAGATCCTAAACTCAGGACCTTCTGATTAAATGAAGGAAGCATGGCTGTTAAGCGTGGCCGTTAAAGCACGGTCGTCTTACTGTGGAAGCCTTACATTGCAGATTTCTCGCTCAGCTGATCAGTATCTGTAGATGATTGAATAACAGTGAGTTTATGTCTAGATAATTAAGGTGGACCTGCTGTTTTGGATGGTCATTGTAATTCTAACTGAGCCGGTGCTCTCTCTAATTCAGACTGTGAGGTTTATAATGCTAATATAATTACATAACATAATGTAATAACATTACTATTACTGTAATGGCATTGTAATTAACGTCATGTCTGTATTCAAAGATGGCAAAGAAATGAAAAGTGTGGATTACATGAGCGAATAAACAAAAATGTATGTGTTGCTAATCACTGCACACCACTAACCTTCTCTGTTGTGGAATGGAACCATTCACTGCACAGTTACACACTGCAGATTCATACTGGATTAAAATCACTCCACAATTATTACAGTCAGTCTGTAAAACTACACACTGCAGATTCATACTGGATTAAAATCACTCCACAATTATTACAGTCAGTCTGTAAAACTACACACTGCAGATTCATACTGGATTAAAATCTCTCCACAATTATTACTGTCAGTCTGTAAAACTACACACACTGCAGATTCATACTGGATTAAAATCACTCCACAATTATTACCGTCAGTCTGTAAAACTACACACACTGCAGATTCATACTGGATTAAAATCACTCCACAATTATTACCGTCAGACTGTAAAACTACACACACTGCAGATTCATACTGGATTAAAATCACTCCACAATTATTACCGTCAGACTGTAAAACTACACACACTGCAGATTCATACTGGATTAAAATCACTCCACAATTATTACTGTAAAACTACACACACTGCAGATTCATACTGGATTAAAATCACTCCACAATTATTACAGTCAGTCTGTAAAACTACACACTGCAGATTCATACTGGATTAAAATCTCTCCACAATTATTACTGTCAGTCTGTAAAACTACACACACTGCAGATTCATACTGGATTAAAATCACTCCACAATTATTACCGTCAAACTGTAAAACTACACACACTGCAGATTCATACTGGATTAAAATCACAGTTGTGTTGAAATGATCTTTGACTCTTCAAATCTAAAACCAAAACATTAACATATATCAGTAGTTTAACCCAGCCCATTTACACTTCAGCTATAATGACTGTTTTGGATGTAGAAATGAATTACTGTATGAAATCTTTGGTTCATAAAACCACACAAACTTCATAAGTAGTTTGCAAGAAGAGAAAAAATAAATAAAATGCAATAAGGTGTGAAATACGGACCCTCTTAACTGCAGAAACACTCCAGGTAAAAGTAATCCAGCTGCAATAGGATTTAGAGATGTCCTTTAGAAACATCCAGTACAGCATCTCAGATTTAGCGTAAGGAAGTAGATTATGTTTGTGAGGAGTGATGTCGGCGTGGGATTTGCTCAGCAGTGTCGCTGCACGGCGTGTTTGTGTGAAGAGAGTAATAGTGAGTCCAGATAAAAGGTAAACAGGATACGTGACATTATCCCGCCCAAACTCTGTCTGACAGCTGGACACTAACACACGCCCAGTGTTTATCAGCGCTAACCTTTAATCTGTTTGAATAATTTCCTTTTTACAGCAACACACATGTGACTTATTAAAGCTGTTTCTGGAGATTGATCTCTGAGTGCATTCTGAACTCTGCCTTTATCAAAAACACAGAAACCAATTCTGTAATATAACCTGTAGATCAAAGTGAATGAGAAATCAAGCTTGTCAGTTTTTCCCTCTGCAGAACATCATCAGGTTTCAGATCGGTTCTCCAGAGAAGAGAACGCTGTGTGATTTACTGGAAGCTGCATTGGCTGCTCGAAAAATCTCAGCTTTTATTACATTATATTACTCTGATTTGGTCCAGTTTGTGCTCTTCTGTCCAGCAGGGCTGTCTTTTCTGGACTTGCCATAGTTTTGCTACTGGTGTAGATTCCACTGGTGACAGTTGAGGGACTCATTTTTGTCCACCAACTTTCAAACTGAGGTGGGGAAATTTGTATATAGTGCAGATCTTCTCTTACTGCCCAGCTCACCTAATGATCGAGTGATGATAATAGAATTAGAATCATAACATGGTTTGATTGATAAACATCCATCTAAAGTACAATTACACCACTGATATATGAAGCACTGGGATACATCTGTTTACAAGATTACGCTACAGCCATTTCCATGGTTACGCTACACGCTGCAAAAATAGGATCTTGTCAAGTGAAATGATCTTAAATGTAGTCAGTATCAAATATTTCCCATTCTGAGATGGTTGTGCTCTTTTTATAAGATTATGTAGCTTATTGACACTTTTCACTTGTTTTAGGTCATTTTATTAAGTAAAATTATCTCACTATACTGGCCGATAATTTTGCTGGCTTTAAGCTAATTTTTTAAAACAAGCAAAATCATCTGCTGATATAATGAGATAATTTACTTAAAACAAGTAAAAAATGGATAGAAAAAGGAAAATTAATCTTACAACAGTCTCAGCGGGAGAAATATTTGATTTCTTGACTATATTTAAGATAATTTTATTTGACGAGATAGTATTTTTTGCAGTGCAGCCATCTCCATGGTTACATTACAGCGATTTCCATGGTTATGCTACACCCATTTCCATAGTTACGCTACTCCCATTTCCATGTTTACGTTACACCCATTTCCATGGTTACGCTACTCCCATTTCCATGTTAACGTTACACCCATTTCCATGGTTACGTACATCCATTTCCATGGTTACGTTACACCTATTTCCATAGTTACGCTACTCCCATTTCCAGGTTAACGTTACACCCATTTCCATGGTTACACTACATCCATTTCCATGGTTACGCTACACCTATTTCCATAGTTACACTACCGCCATTTCCATGTTAACGTTACACCTATTTCCATGGTTACACTACAACCATTTCCATGGTTATGCTACACCCATTTCTATGGTTTCCATAGTTACACTACTCCCATTTCCCTGGTTACGTTACATCCCATTTCCATGGTTATGCTTGTTAAGTGTAAGCACGTATTTTGTTTTTTTTGTGTTTGTGTCTCTCTTTCTTGGTCTCTTATTCTCTTCCCTCAGAGGTACCTGCTCTGGAACCAGTCATGTGGGAACCAGTCATGTGAGAACCAATCAGAGGCCTGGCTGGTGCAGTTGGGGGAGAAGCCTATGTTTTAAAAGAGGCCTTCAAGATGGCTAAAGAGAGAGGACTGATCATGTGTGCTGTTTTAGTGTGTGTTTTAATCTCTTGTGTTGGGGTGCTTTGTTTTAGGTATTTTACCGGTGCTTCTTTTAACTTAGTTTATACGATGGTCTTTTATGTTGGAGGAAGTACTTTAGTTGTGGTATTTTACCTGCACGCTTTTAACTTTGTTTTACAAGAGGTTGTTTGCACCACCTGGGGTTTCAAACAGGTAAGAGGGGCGCGTCTATACCCTTGCAACACGTAGATGTCTACTCTGTCTAGCTCCCTAGGTCAGAGGGCACCGCCACATGTACTTTTGGTTACTGGCAAGGGAGGTTTAGAGTAGTTAGCTTTGGTTTCCTTTTTTTAGATTAGCTAAGTACTTTTGGTTTCAGAGTAGGCAGCGTGGTTCGGTTTTGATATGTTCTTTTCTTTGGTGCCGTCCACTTTGATTCTTCCAGTGTGGTACTGGGAATCACAGCACTCTGGTTTTATTGAAGTTTGTTTTAATAAAAATGGCTTCAAAAGCTCTATTGATTTGTTCAGCACGCTTCTCATCCATTCTCACCTGTTCAGTATTTTAATGCCACATGTTACTGATCCCATGCACCCTAGACAAAACGTGGGGTCGTAACAATGCTACACCCATTTCCATGGTTACACTACACCCATTTCCATGGTTACACTACACCCATTTCTATGGTTACACTACACCCATTTCTATGGTTATGCTACACCCATTTCCATGGTTACACTACACCCATTTCCATGGTTACACTACACCCATTTCTATGGTTATGCTACACCCATTTCCATGGATAACCTACACCCATTTCCATGGATAACCTACACCCATTTCCATGGTTACATTATACTCCATGGTTATTCTACACCCAGTTTAATGGTTATGATACGTATAGTTCTATGATTATGCTCTGTATGTAACATACAACTGCATAATATTAATAATATTAATAATTTTTATCAATTTTTTTAAATTGGAGGTGATTTGGGGCTCCAACTTTATTAACCCTCCACTTCTGGAACCAAAGCCACACCCTTGTTCTCCTCTCTGGGCTCATTTGTAAGATTAGGAAGATATGAGCTGAAAAATATCCTGTCTGTAAAGGTCTGGAGAAATGAGTAAAGCTCCCCAGAGCGTCAGAACAGAGGAGGTTGAACGCCTCGTCTAGACTTTGAAAGTCAAACTGTAGTCAAAGACTTTCAGTGAGGAGGAAAAAAAAAAGAGTCTTTGTTGATCATAAATGAAATCCCAGCATGTCAACTGATAATCATCCAGCAATGTTTCTCTTTCCATTAATTCACGGCTCGAACTCAGAAAAACTCTCCTGGCCTGCAAACCGGAAAAATGGGCTGCGATCAGCGCTGCACACGAGTCTGTGAGTACATACAACTCAAAAACACTCAGAGAAAAGCAAGCCAGACATTTTTTCCATTGAAAACATGTTTTCAATCACGTTATGCTTTAGCAAACAATCCACAGACTCATATGGATTTTTCCATTACTTAAAACAAAAACAGGCACATTGACAGCTGCAAAACTCATCCATCATTCGGGGTGAAGATCTACTGAGCAGAAACACAGTTCATCCATGATAATACAGATGATGGACTGACACAATAGGACTAATGTATACAGCGCCGGCTCTACCTAATAAACGACATAAGCAGCTGCTTAGGGCCCCTGCAGCCACCAGGGGGCCCCCTAACAACTCCTGGGTTATTACAGTATCATTATGCTGTCTAAGATGCTCAAGGATGCTTAAGGGAAAAAAGAAACTACTTCTCATCATCTCAACATTTTGTTTTGGCTTTAGCTGAGCAACAAGTAGCTGATAAAACAGGTTCAACTTAGACTTTCTGCAGGAATTTCATGATGCAATCATGTCAGCGTGGACCAGAATTTCAAAGGAATGTTTCCAATAGCCTGTAGAATCCAGAGCAAAAGGAGGCCCTAGCCCAGTATCACCCCAGTATCACCCCAGTATTAGTGTAGCGTTCCTACTAAAGTGCTCAGTGAGTGTAAATCTTGGGAAAAAAGCCTCACTTTCAGCTTTTCTGCTTTTGCACAGTGGCAACCAGGGAAGGTATCACAGGTTCTCTAGAGTCCTGTTCTACTACAGTCACGCACAAAATACAAAGGGGTGACATTCTCACTCGCGAAACCTGAAAACTCAACTCAAAACAAAGGTGTTACAGAAATGTTCAGCTTTGTCGGCCATAACCAAGACATCACTGCATTTAATAATCCGATCATTTTCACACATCGGATTTCTGCAGTTATCTGATTATTCAAACGGTCATGTAAACAGCACACTCTGGTTTCTTAGATGGGAGTAAGGTCTAGAAATCTGATTAAAAAATCTGATAAAGAGGTTGGATTTTAGCTCAGTAATCAGATTTCTCAGTCTGTGCATGTACGAAAACAGACGGCGGCACTGGAAATAAGCGAGCAGCTTATACTTCTGGAGTGACGCTGAAACAAATTACATACTTGATGAAATGAAGGATTTAAATATTCTTCATCTTCTAGATGATGTGCGTTCATATTTTCAGGTAAAGTGGTGCGATGTTTTAAAAAAACGAAGTTTGAGTTCACATTATGTTGACGTCACGTCTTCTTCTGTGAGTTTATTGGCTGGTTGTAAAGCAGAAATCTGATTACTGTCTGACTCATATAGACCTGGAGTTTCCCCATTATCTGATTACTGAAGTGCATGTAAACATGTTAATTGGATTACTGACAAAATCAGATTTTCTGCAGTTATCGGATTATTAAGCGCATGTTAATGTAGTGATTGTTTAATTCAATTTCACTATAGCACAAAAGCACAAACAAAACAAAACAAACTGGGGGTGAGTGTTTGAAATAAGTGGTTGAGAACCATGGACAACAATCTATTCTAACACTGGATTGATATTTTACTACCAACTGGCAGCTGATTTTGAAATTGTAAAGAGACTGATCTGACATCAGGTTCCACACATTACAACATCATAAACATCATAAAGGCTCTTGTTCAGCAAGCAGCTCCTCCGTCTCGTCTGCCTTCTCGTTTCTTTGCTCTTCTCCATCAGCTGCTGCCTGAATAATGTTCCGTTACATCGCTGACGTATCTCTCACTGCAGGACTCGTCAGCATTTTGAGTTATTAAAAAAATTAAACATGTTTGGAAATATCAGAGAGCCTCTGATCACCACAGCGCTCAATTGGAAAGCTAAAGAGTGATTTGTAAATGAGCTTTGTTCTGATTGGGTGACCTGTATTGTACCTCATTCAGAAAGCTGGGCTGCATCCATCCCTGACACAGTGTTTATTAACAGTAACGGTGGTGTTTCTGTAGCCTGATGTCTTCTAACGTCGTCGACTGCTGTGCACACCAAGCTGCAGCAGCTGCATTTGTAGAGACTTTATTTGAATCCATTGTGTGCGCTGCCTTATTAATTTGGCGGGGTTTATATACACATTGTTGCTGATTGGGTAACACCTCTGACACGCCCATCAAATGAGAGGACACAACCCTAAAACCCACTTTGCACCATTTCATTGAGACGTGTTGTTCAACCTGGAAACTGTAGCAAAACAGTGCACGACGTTTTGAGATTGAACATCTCCCTGTTCAGGTTAAAACACCCCTTATAACTTCAGCACGAGTGGGTGGGGCTAAACTGCTGTAGGCTGAATAGACCACTGTAGTCGTGCGTCATTCTGTAGTCCTTGTCATGCCCATATTAGGAACTCTGGGTCTGAGCTCCGTTTCCCTATGGCCAGAATGAATAGGGTTTTTGAAAAATCACCTCTATCGCCCCCTGTGTTAAAAATGTTCAGAACCCGATACATTTTTCTCCCGAATATCACTGGATCCTCCAAACTACGAGGTCGATAAAGAGCCTTAATACTAATTTTGCTACATGAGAGCTAAAATTACTGCGCATCAATTTGATGTCACTAAGCTACACTAAACTAAGGCGGGCTGTGGCGGTGCTCTGACCAGCTGTGCTACCTTATCGAAATGTTCTACCGTAGCGCTTAATTACAGTAAATATTATACCCGTAAATAAAACCTCTGGGTGGGATATTTTCAGGCTAAAACTCCTTATCAAAAATACTACGAGGCTGAATTTACCTAACTTTGTGTAAACAGACCACGACATAGAAATATGTACATATGCAGTCGTGACTGTCATGTTTCTTTTTTTCTGACACCATTTAATTTTATAGTAAATTAGTTTTGGCTAGTTTATGTTTATGAACAGAGACCTACAGATGCAGTTTAGTAAAGGAAACTCATTTGTGAATCTGAGTTTAAAGTTTTTATTAAACTTAAACTTGTAACTAAGTTCAAATAAATCTTAAACTGAAACTTTGCTTGTTTGTATAAAGTGATTTCAGAGCCACTCAGTTCTACCTGATGGAAACTGTTTGCCTTCAGTGTTTTGTGCTGATGATAATTTTAATAGACATCAGCGTCACTAATTAATGACTCTATTAAAAGACTGGTTTACCAAGAGAGACACTGGAGTATTTTCAGCTAAAACTGAGTTAATGAAGCGAGTCTTGTTACAAAAATGATAATAGGACATCAGAGTCATAATTAATCTTTTAGTACTTTTACTTTTGATACTTAAGTACATTTGAGGGAAAATACTTTTGTACTTTTACTCAAGTGGAGGTCTAAAGGGAGGAACTTCTCCTTTTACTGCAGTAATATTTTACCTTGGGTGTCTCTACTTTAACTCAAGTAGATCGTTTGTGTACTTCGTCCACCACTGGTTTTGAAACTTTAACACTGTTTACATGCTACATCAAACTCTTATTCCAAAAAAGTGAGGAAACATTTGATTTTTGGAATTTATGGGTCCTTTTGAGAGATGAGAAACTGGTGTAAAATTGATGGAATTGGAGGGAAATTCCACAGTGAAATATGAGAGCCATGTGTAGTTACAGTCCAAATAATTTTGGCTGCTACTGGGAGTAAAACCAGAGCGCAGGACAGATGGAGATGTGTAAAATTAAATATCTTTATTCAAAACACGTGTTGCCAACAAACACATTCAAGGTCACAGGTTAAACCGTGAAGAGGAAGTTCACATGAGCCAAGGTGGTGCGGGTTCGTTTATTCACTCATTTGGTCTGGTTTCATTTTACAAATTAAAAGTCCTTGCAGCATGGGCCAATGGGAAAAAAACAGCTCATTACACTGAGATAGCAGCCTCAATATATAACAGGAATAATCTGTTCAGTTCTTAAGAGCAGATTTCCATCTGCTTCCCAAAGAAATTTTTATCTCCGTGATGTTCATATCCAAGTTTTTACAGCTTGTAGCAAAGCAGAACATTCTTTGGCATTTTTACAGTCGCCATTTTCCCAAGGCCACTCAAACATACCTGGTCATAAGAGAGAACTCTGCTTAATCTTAATGCTGTTACTCTTTATAAGCACTTTGAAGTTGATCCATATTAAGGACAATTATCTCTGATTGTAATCAAGCACTCCTCCGTCTGAGCTTCGGCTTTATTGCCCCTATTAGCTGGAAGAAGCAGGAAAAACCTAATTGTCCGACGGCTGTTTTATACTGTCTCTTGTAATCACTTTAGTGACCCTCCATCAATGATGGCAATCGGTCCTTTTAAAGAAAGCAGAAAGCCATGTTTATGATAAGATCACTTCTTGCCGTTCTTGGCACAGTTTTAGATAATCGTGTGCCAGAGTAAGGAGAAGCGGAAAAGTCTGGGAATTCTCTTCTTTTGGCTCCGTAATGGACAGACTGCATCTGCAGCTTCTCCTCTTCTGCTAGGGTTTCCCTTCAGAGCCCAAGTGATGAGGTCCATTCAGGCTCCGCCCACAAATGTGTTCCTACATAGCAACTGTTGTGAGGTTGTACAGGTTTTACAGGATGCTGGCATTCAGCCTAATGAGAAACTGTAGAACAGACTCAGTTTATATCACAATACCTACATTTAGAGTCGGTTATTCATTCAGCCTAATGAGAAACTGTAGAACAGACTCAGTTTATATCACAATACCTACATTTAGAGTCAGTTATTCATTCAGCCTAATGAGAAACTGTAGAACAGACTCAGTTTATATCACAATACCTACATTTAGAGTCAGTTATTCATTCAGCCTAATGAGAAACTGTAGAACAGACTCAGTTTATATCACAATACCTACATTTAGAGTCAGTTATTCATTCAGCCTAATGAGAAACTGTAGAACAGACTCAGTTTATATCACAATACCTACATTTAGAGTCGGTTATTCATTCAGCCTAACACAATATAACAGTTCAAATGACCTAGTGTTAGCACACACAAACTTTAAGATAACCAGCTATACACTTATTTTTAATCACTTTGAATTCAGGCATATATTGATGCCACAATACTTACATATATTGTTAATTTAAAATGATATTCAATTTTAAATATGTGCAACAACTCAAACGCAGAAAGGTGTTTTAGCATTGCTTTGCTAGTTAACATCTACACTACAGCATGGCTGACTTTACTCTAAGGAACAGCAACATTTTCTTATCATACTGCCATCTGGCTTTAGGACAAAAACAGAAAGTGACATTGCCTCAAGCTATAAAGTCAAGCTACTCAGCGACAACAACAGAGAAAAAGAAATTTGCATCTTTTCAGCATTCAGCTACATGTAGCTTGATTATTTCAGCTACGCTACGGTAGATAGCACGCAGGCCACGATGTTAACTTAGCTAGCTAGCAAAGCTAAAACAAATAAAGCCAGTGAACTGTCTGTAAATTAGATGTTTATCCAAATCTACCTAGTCTATCACCCTAGTCTTACTTTAGTTGCGTTCTACATTTTCTCATTATGTTAAATGGGATTTTTACTATGCACAATGATACTGGAATCATTTGGCTGATCCCAGAGATGAGAAATACGCTAAATGAATCTCCTCCTGATCTCAAGTTCTTCTCCTGGACACAGTTCAGTCCAGTTTAAATCAGAGTGAGACTGAGCCTGATTCTGAAATTCGGCTCCTGAGAAATAAAACTCAGATTTTCTCACTTTGATCAAAATGTGGTCCCACGTGTGGATTAACTCTTTAGAGTCTGACTCGTCTCAGCCCCGTCTCAGCTGAGTAACATCTCCATAAGAACAGTGTGAGATCTAATCGTTCTCTTATACAGCTCTGTTCTAGATCACAGAACCCTCTCAGCAGTCCGTCAGTGCAGAAGGAGAACTCACGCTTTTCTCCTTCATCACCAGAACGTCTCACAGTGAGACGCTGGAGTTAATCTCCTCTTTTCTCCTGAGGAGGTTCAGGAGGAACAGCTCAGAAACCAGTGATCGTTAATATAATACTGAGATCTGCTTTATTTCTCTGAGACGATCTTAAGGAAGATTTTTTTCATGTGATATATTTGCTTAAAAAAATACATATCAGCACTGAACAGATGATTGTATTCGACCTTTATTTCAAACCAATATTTGATGATTTGTTTATTGAACTCCAGAAGAGCAGAATGATTAGGTGACACTGCAATATCTGCTTTCTCTTAAACTTACTGCACTTGTAACTCTACAGAAATGAAGTTATATTTCTCTGTAATGCTAAACCAGGATTGGTTCCAGTTCCTACGTTTTATAGATTTTTATGTATCGACATGCCCTGCTAAAAAAAGAACCATTAGAACAGTTAGGATTAAACCTGATGGTATTGCTTTTGCTAATGGGAACTGGCATAATGTTTACCATTAGAGACCACTACTTTCCTGTAGGACACTTTTAGATCCCATTAGGAAACCATCAAATGCATCTGGAATCAAAACAGCTGCTAAACCATTAGAGCCCTTTACACTGTGATATCAACCCATCAGAAAACAGAATACCATTACTGACTATTGGACACCAGCAGTACCAAAAGAAATGTTTAATGGTTTCTGTTGGGCTTTTTTCAGCAGGGTCAGCAAATATGTACATCAAAAATATCAGATATCGACATCGGTGCACAATTCCATATCAGTGCATCACTAATTTTAACCAGCGTTCTGTACAACTAGTCCAACCTCACAACAAAGAGCACCTTTTGTAGTGCAGGTAGGTCAACCTTTATGATTGTTGAAACACTAATGGATTAACTGTTACTCAACGTTGAGTAATGTTTTGGTTTATTGTGTTGAGAAAGGCCACTCGTGGTCCCGAAGGCACATGCAGGTTTAAAGCTTTTACCCCAAAAACGTCACTGAGGCACATGTACAGGAGTCTAACAGTCAAACGTCTGAAAGGTGCACAGCATTAATAACGTTCACTATATGAACTGCTTTTTCTTTATCAGAACAAATGAACCTCTTCAAACCTCCCTGCTAGCTTAGCCCTAAACCTTGACTGTGAGTTTAGCACTTTGGCAGGTGAATACTGTACTTGGCAGCGGCGTACACAGGAAGTCAAACAGACCTCATGGTCAAAGGATTTGGAGCATGAGCTCAAATTCATACCCCATGCCTGTGAGTCCTATAAAATGGAGGCGTATCAATAATAACATCAACAATAAAAAAATGTAAAAAACTCGCAGTAGTATCTGATAAAACACTTCTCCAAATTTGTAGGGTGGGGGGGGGTGGGGGGGATGGGGGGATGGGGGGTAGGATAACATATTGAGAGCACGTTCCTCTGTTTTAAAATTATATTCTGTCTCCAAGGAGTTCACAGGGTTCAGTGGGAAAAAAGCAACGCACCAAGTGTGCATCTGCATCTCCAGCTGGCAAACGTCATTCTGTGGGTCATTTTCTGGCCCCGTCGTTCTTTCTGGCTGGTCGTCGTTCACCTCTGTGCCACGCAGGCAGTTTTGCTCCTACCAGCCAGGAGTTCAGAGCCTCCTACTTGTCCTCAAAGAGCAAAACCCCACTAAAGATGGTGAGAGGCTCCACCGAATGGGCTAGTTTACCCATCACCAGGTCAACACACACAGGATCGCCCACCTGCAGGGGCAGAATGATGTTAAAAACAGCCAGAGAACCAGGCGTGGGTTTGGCTTCGGCCATCGGTTTGTTCTCTAGGCCTTCGGGCTGGTATCCTGCGGAGTCTACGCGCGCCACACCGTAGTTTGCCTTGGACAGGACGGCCTCGATCTTCTCATTCTTGTGGCCCGTCAGGATGGCGCTGAAGAAGTAGTGCCCGTCTCGAGGCGCGGTGAAGATGCCTGCATGATGGAAAGATGAGAAGTTTAGTTTATTATGTTATTTGTTTGTTTTAAAATGTATAGGTCACGGACACAAATTAACCCAAAATAAACGTGCCAGTGTTGTCAGTTGTATGACTACAGATATAACCATAAAAAATCTAAAAATAATAATTGTAACATTTTTCAGTACATTAACTTCTTAAAGTCTTAATATAATCAGTCAGAATAAAACTATTTTAGAAGATCAAACACATTTTATACAGAATGTGCAGTAGAAAGTGCTCTGGATCTTATAGTGTTCCCATAGCAACGCCACCTTTGAATTTTGGCCGCAGTCACACAGTTATATGATTTTAATGAACTACTCTTAATTTCTCTTAATATTATTATTATTATTATTATTATTATTATTATTATTAGGCTTAGGCTATTAGGCTCATCTGTAAAGCATTTTGAGCTGCCACTGGTATGAAAAGTGCTTTATAAACAAAGGTATTATTAAAATAAAGATCATTTGCAATCACTGTTTTTTTTAATATTGCATTAAATATTTGCAAAAATAGTAAAATAAAGCATGGGATACACGCATTTCATTGACTTTTTGTTATATAATTATGTACAAATGGTTAAGTAGCTGTTTTTATCATTCAGGACAGCCTTGGTATTCAGCAGAAAAATGAGCTGCAGAAAATCTGAGACAAGCACACAATCATTCCACAGTTAGATACCTGTACAAGTTATTTAAATCCACTGCTATATTTACCTGTTTCTGGATCATAAAATTTTCCCTTATTGGCAAAGATCTTATCAAAGACTATAGTTCCAGAAGTAACCATGGGTTTGGTGAGAGCAGCAGAGAAAGAGATACTCGGGATGGTGGCATCTTCACCTGGAGGACCTATACATTTACAAAAACACAAAAGATGAGTACATTATAGCAGATTATTGGATAAATAAATGCAGGCTTCTAAATGAAAACACCCAGCTGTTTGACACAGTTGTTCAAACAGATCATAAACTAAGTGACCGCCACACACAAACAAAAACTTCTTTGAATGCATACATCCTCATCCCACTGACTTCTAATGACCCTCGCCAGCAGTTGTAATAAGATTGGCAACATCTGCTAGATTTAAAATAGCCTGAGGGCTTGAGCCAAAGTTCAGCTGGCAGAGGAATTTGGGGAAAATAAAGCTCATACCTTGTGCCCCCGTGGAACCTGTAAAAAGGAAAGTTCAAATGGTGAGTGTGTTTGTTACATTACTGTCATTTAAGTCAGATAAGATTGCAAACCACGCCATACAGACAGTAAAATAATATGTGACAATAATATAAGGCCAAAAAATGTTGTTTTAGTAACAACATGTGAAGTTAACTGTTTATAATCCAGCTGTTTAGTGGCACGATGATGTCACTTTACTCTTTTGTCACTAACAAAGCACTAATCCACCAGTTAACTGAGTCTTATCAGAGTACTGAAGGTCTGTTACCTTGTGGTCCTCTTGGTCCCTCCACACCTGGTTTGCCAGGTGGTCCTTCCTTTCCTGGTGGCCCTTGTGGTCCAGGAAGTCCTGGATATCCTCTTTCTCCCTGAGGGCCTGGTGGTCCAGGTAGACCTGCAATCAGACATCATGCTGGTAATTAGTCTGTCAGAGGCCTAACCCCGAAGCCTAACCCTAATCCTAAAAGAGACTTGAAGCCAGTGTAATATAGGAATTTGTGTCTGGATTGGGCTGAAATTTCGGGATGCTGGATGAATGATGCTGTTTCTATGTGGTCATTTGATTTTTTAAGTGGTAAAGCGTGGCTATATGTTTGTAATTGCTGGTGTTATCGAACTATATGCATTCAGCATGTTATAACACTGATGAGACATACCTGTTAGGTCTAGTTCTGTTATGCCCTGGAACTGCTTGAGAATGTGGAGCAGAGAAGAGTTGAGCTGCTTGATCTTGCCGTGGATGCCGTCCAGATGGGTGTCCTGGATGGTATCAATGAAACTGCTGTGGGAGGTCACCGTAGCATTAAGTCCATTGACACAGCTCCACAGGCTGGACACATGCTTGTTAAGGCCTTCTTTGATTTTCTGCAAGTTGTCAGAAACAGAGTCCAGCCGGCCACAGATTCCTTCAAGTTTGGAAAGTCTCTTGTCCAGGCCATCGCCGGTTCTCTTGCAGTCACCCATCTCTACCACAAAGTTGTTCCCAAAGCGCTTCACGTCCTGGTCCATGTTGTCAAAGCGCAGCTTGCTGTCCTCTATGTGCTCCGTCACCTCCTGCTGGATCTTGTCAATTTCTGAGATAATCTTGTCCTTGGTGTTACCCAGATCAGTGATCACGCTATCGTGTTTGTGGACGTTGTGCTCCAACCCTTTCAGAGTGTCATTGATGGAGCTAAAAGTCAAGATGACCTCCGACAACTGTCCCTGGATAGACCTGAGGTTGCCGTTGTTGCTGCTGATGACACTGTGTCCATCGAGAGGTTTCTGAGAGTGATCCAGGTCACCTTCTGTTCCTGTTCCAGTGGGAGTCTCCAAAGAAATCTTGCACTGCCCTCCACACTTCTGTACCTCTTCCTTCAGTTTACCGACTTCCTCCTGCAGGTTAGAGCACACCTCTGAGCACGCTGTCTGTCCAGAATCGACTTTCCCTTTAATGTAGTTCATATCAGTTTGCCACTTGTCAAGAACATGGTTTGTGATGTTCTTCAGTTTCTTCACGTCATCTTGCACTGACCTGCAAAGATCACAGTTCTCAATCTCAGTTACAATTCTGTTGAAATGTTCCCCGTTGTCTCCAGTCAGTGCTTTAATCTTGCGGATATCGTGGCTGAGGTCGATTACTTTGTCCATGAGAGAGTCTCCGGACACAGAGAGGTCTTTTAGTCTTGTGTCGAACCTCTTGATCTCATGCTCATTGGCAATAACCTTCCATTCCAGGGACTTCACTGTATCCTCTGGGCTGCTGCCACCACTTCCTCCAGGGGGTTGTTTGGAACCAGTGCCAGTTACAGAGACGCCCCCAGATCCAGAGCACAAAGAGCATTCATTTATCCTCCTGTCTAGATGAGATGTGACATTCTCCAGCCGAGACAAGCGCTTGTCCAGGTCAAACACAGTCTCTTTGACAACCCCAAGGTCCAAGACCACATCTGTAATCTTGTCATCTTGGTCTTCAAGGCGACTGCTGATGTCATTCCGCAGGTCTCTCAGCTCATTGCGGAACAAATCCTTCAAGTCATTCTCCAAGTAGGCGTAGTTGTCTTCCGTTCTTTGAATGGTGTTGTTAAACCGCCTTTCTAGATCTCTCAAATAACCATTGAAGGTATCCTCTGTTACTCTTGGTCCCGGCCCACCTCCACCTATTCCTCCTCCGACACTTCCACCACCTCCAGTTTCTCTCAGCTCCTTGTCCATGCGATCCTGCAGACCTTCGCAAGTCTCTGACGTTTGGATTAGCTTCTTGTCCACTTCGTCGAGTCTTTCTTTGAGGTGCGTGACTGAATCACAGCAGCTTTGAGATTGACTCAGATCTCTACGCAAGCTGTCCAGAGTTTGGCGGTGCCGTTGGTCCATGGCATTAATCTGCTTCTCCAAAGCTAGGATGCGCTCTCTGTCCCTCTGCTGCTGCTTCCTCAAGTCTTCCACCCCAGCCTGGCAAGCAGAGCATGAAACAGTGACTCTGTGCTCCAATTCTTGTAGAATCTCCTCCTTCATGGTGTTAAATCTACCACCTCCCGCACCACCTTCCACATCCAAATCATTCCCACCTCCTCTGCCATTCACAAGGTGGTTGTTGATGCTGACCAGAGTTTTATCGTGAGCTTGAGTTCTGTTATCCAGCTGGTCTAGCTTGGCCTGGATGATGTGAATGGTCTCTTTCATCTCAGGCTGGGCTGCATCGGCTGGCGTTTTGGCACCGTTACCAAAGCCAGGCTTCCGCATCTCCTCCTGAAACCTCTCGTTCATGCCACGTAGAGTTGATTGCAGGTCCTGGAGGTCTTTTGTCAGACTCTGAATTTTGTCCTCAAGCTGCTTCATCTTTTCACTGTCACCTCTCCCTAAATACACATCAGAATCAGGATTACGTTATTTACAGAGCACATAATATATGATTTACAAAGTTTTCTACTTCACTTATAGAAATACTGTCCATTAAAAGTTAGGGAGAAAATCCTCTGCAGAGGACTTATGAACCAAAACAGCTATTTGGTTATACTCTGCCTATATTTAGCTTCAACACAGCCTCATGTTCATCATCTTCCTTGGTAGAACGAGCTGGTTTTGAAAGGTTTGAGTGCTAAGATCACAACAAAGGGGCTGAGTGTAGGGATGCTTGATTATATCAGAATCATTTAGATGGGGGAAGATATTCACTTTAAAAAAAGAGAATGGCATCGGACAGATATTTTAAACTGATATTTGATGATTTATTTACTTATTGAAATCCCTGGATTACTGCTCTAAAATGTCTGCATTTTATTCACTGTACTGCATTTGTAACCTTACAAAAATGTTACATTTCTTTGAAATGCTAATCCAGGTAAGGGTAGTCCCAATATCTGCATGATATAAATGTTTATCTATTGGCGTCAGCAGATACGTGCATGAAAAATATTGGGCATCAGCATCAGCCGAGAAACAGAATTCCCATAGTGGTGCATCCCTAGACATGCATTGGCCTTGAATGTTATTACCAACCTCTTTTCCAAAAGAGTTGGGACACTGTGCAATTTGTAAATAAAAACAGAGTGCAGTGATGTGCAAATTAAATAGAAAAACAGTGCAAAGACAACATACCAAATGTTGAAACTAAAAATTGTATTGTTTTTGAAAATATATGCCCATTTTGAATTTAATGCCAGCAACGCATTTCAAAAAGTTGGGACGGGGCGACAAAAGACTGATAAAGTTGTTTAATGCTAATAAACACCTGGTGGAGGAAAATCTCACAATTAGTTACATTACCGCCTTCTCTGCACCTGAGCTCATTTAAGATGGACTGAGGCGAAGTGGAAAAGTGTCCTGTGATCCAACCAATCAAAATTTGGAACTCTTTTTGGAAATCATAGATGCTGCATCCTCCAAGCTAAAGAGGAGAGGGATCATCTGGCTTGTTATCAGCGCACAGTTCAAATGCCAGCATCGTTTATGGTCAGGGGGGCCTTAGTGCACATGGCATGGGTAACTTGTACATTTGTGAAGGCACCATTAATGCTGAATGATGTATACAGGTTTTAGAGCCAAACCGTCAAATGTCAAACCACATTCTGCACGTATTACAACAGCATGGATGTATGGTAAGAGTTAGGGTGCTACACTGGCCTGCCTACTGAAAACATTTGGTGTATTGTTAAATTAAATATATGACAAAGTAGACACTGAACTGTTGAGCAGCTGAAAACTACAGCAATTGGTCTCCTCAGTTCCCAAACGCTTACTGAGTGCTGTTAAAAGAAGAGGTGATGAATCACAGTGGTAAACATGCCCCTGTCCCAACTTTTTTGGAATGTGTTGGTGGCATCAAACTTAAAATAAGCATTTATTTTTCAAAAAACAATAACATTAGTCAGTTTTAATATTTGATATATTGTCTTTGTACTACCTTCAATCAAATACAAGGTTTGCACATCATTGCATTCTGTTTTTATTAACATTTTGCACAGCATCCCATTTTTTTTGTAAACGGGATTATAATTAAAAGGTGACAGATAGATGGTGTCCCCAGAATGTTTATCCTGCAGCATACTAATCTAGTAGACCTTTCAATTGCTTATTTATGTGCTTTGTGAAGACAGTCAGTGTGTGAAATACCTACCAGTGGCTCCACTCTGCCCGTTGCCTGTACTGGAACCCGTGTGTCCAGGGTTTGAGGGCTTAGGCCAGGGTCTAGCTGTGGATATCTGGGTGCCAGATCCAGGGCTGGGTCCATCATTGCAGTCCTCTCCACTGAATCCATGGCAGCACTTCCACTCCATTTCTGTCACCATTTTGTAGGCCACTTTATATCTGGGCCTCATGTAGGTTCGATACCTTCAACACACAAAAAGTACTGTATGAACAAAAGCAAGCCAACCAGGCAACATTGCAGACACTTCATAGATGCCTACCTTATCTAACAGCTATTAAATTCATCTTGACACCGTGATATTAAACCTAACACTTAATTACACCTCTTAATCTTAACCCAGATTTTTGATAATCAACAGTCCCAGCCGATAGTTTGTCAGCCATTTGAGCATTTGTAGATAAGCTACAGTGGGTCATCTACATAAAGTGGGACCATAATTCCATTTAACCTTTTTAACTCCTTGGAACCACCGGTGGTTCCAAAACAGCACTGTCATATTCTATACTTCATAACGTTTCATATTTCATAAGCTGCATTCTAAAGGTGGGGGTCGTATGAGAGCTGTAACTGTCTTCTTTCCAGTCAAATAGATGGGTGATGTAGTTTTAAACCCTTATAATAAAAGAAGCTGAACTCACAATTTTTTTTTCTACTGAAAGTCGACCCATTTTTCCACAAATCTGAGCTACAAACTGGATCTCAGATAAACGTCTCTTCAGTGATCTGCTGTGTAAATATTATTTTTATTAAAAATACAAAGAGCGTCTAAGATTTTTAGCTTTCAGCAGAAAATTGTAAGCATATAGCAATATGTGTATGATCATAAAACACGTTCTGTTAATTTGAGAGGAAACTTTTACAAAAAAAAAAATGCCTGGGCATTCAAATTCAGATGGAAAAAACAAAATATACCCACGAGCATAAGAGGTTAAACCCCGAGCGTAGAACAAATGTTAGCCATGTTACGAAAAACATGCTTTCTTGGGCTGCTCTTGTATTTTCTTTGAATCTGAAAATCTTATAAATCCTAAAAACACACAAACCTTTCGAATACTCTCAGATCACCTTTGACCTCATGTTGCTATCACCACACTAATGCGCTCCATTTCTTTGCTCTGAGTTTTATTTCCAAGCTCTGTTAGCGACGCCCTCCCGAGATAAACCGTCCCGTGCTGCCTTTCTGAGAACCCACTGTCTGTCGAAACACAGCGTAGCAGCCAAATGCGTTCTTGATACACAGACACTGGCCTGGACTTTGTAGGCAGAATTTTATTTTCTACCCCGAAAGCTAAGAGGGAAACAGATTTCACAACTAATTCCCTGTGTGAGCAGCATACAGTGTAGTCTTTATTCTTCTTTATGTTTGTGTAGGACTCGCGCTGTAGAACCATCTGCTGCCCAGCTGTGTGTGATGATGTGTTGGTCTCGCTGACAGCAGAACAGAGCTCACACACACACACACACACACACACAAACATGCTAACGCCATGTCAACAGTCACCCGACACGTGCGGTCATAAAAGCTGGAGCACGGTCACTTGGCAGAGCAGTAATTCTGCAGTGAGGAGCGAGTTCACATTTACACGTTCTGCAGCCTTCAGCAACAACTCGGTTCTCCACTGAATAACAGCTAATGGGAGCAATTTAGCACCCCAAAGCTAGCTGTTAGCATGTAGTTAGCATTGCAGCACTAGTTTAAGAGGGTGCTTTAACGTACTTTACTCTCATTTTAAATTGTATTAAAGACAAGTTTGATTGATTTATAAAAATAACCCAGATAGCAAGTATATATCAGTCCTGACTGACTGCTGCACTCAGCACTTTAACTTAAGACACATACTTTGCACAATGTGGGTGGTATGACGTGTGTATGTGTGTGTGTGTGTGTGTGTGTGTGTGTGAGTGATGGTAGGAATGCATGTTCCATTTTATTTTATTTACTACATGTACATGTGTGTCTGATACTGTGCTCTGTGAGCTCCTGTAACCAAAACCAAATTCCTTGTAAGTGTCAGCAAACCTGGCCAATGAAGCTTGATTCTGATTCTGATTCTGTTTGCCACTGCTGGTCCACCCTCAGACCACCCAGATTACTGTCCTGCAGACAGCCCAAACAGGTTTTAAATGCATTTTATTTTAGAAAGTAAACTAAGACAAATATTACAAACAACTGAGAGAAAAAGGGCCTGATATAAAATGATTTTATAGTAAATGTTGTTGCTGACGCTGAGCTGGATAAAAATTATTTACTAGACTAATTTACAAAGTGTAACTAAAGAGAGGAAGGAAGGAAAAATGAATAAATTGGACTGTGAGTGGAAAATGAGTGATGATAAGTGGAATTTTGTCAATTACTCTGTGTAACCACCGGTGGGCCGCCCGGAAAACACTGAGCAAAACGCCATCCTCTTGCTATCAGGGAATGTTCACAGATCACACACTTTTTATCCAAATAACTTTTTATACATCAATATTTTAACATGAGTTTTCTCTTACAGTCATTTTAAGATCAAGATTGTGTATTAATGTGTTCAGAAAGTTATTAGCATTAAGTTAACATCTCCATGCTAGATTAACCAAAATCAGGAGAACCTGAGCTTTGAACCTTTCTCTAAGCCTCAGTGAACCACCTGGGTTAGCATGGAGCTGACGTCTCAGAGTTAGGCGTGAGTATTGGCATCCCAGCGTTAGATTTACCAAATAAGCAGTATTAAATTAGCTCTCACACTTTCTAAGGCAAGAAGGTAGCATGAAGCTATAGCATCATATAGCCAGGCCTTAGCCTGAAGTCCCTGCTGAAAAGATCAGCACAGACCAGCATGAATTCCATACTGGACTAATCTGGTTTAAACTGGTCTAATCATTTTAAACTGTTACTTTAATCTCTAACCAACTCCACTCAGATTGCAACTGTTTTAGATGATTTGGTTTTAGTTTTTTAGTTTTTGTCTTTGTTGATTTATTATTTTTATTGTTATTAAAACTTTTTTGGTGTCATTTGATATAGTTTTTGTTATCATTTTACTATTTTATGAGTACTATGATTATTATTGTGTTTTTTTATTTACCCTACTCAGTTGTTTCATTTATTTATTTTAATTACTAATGTTCCTAATACATGTATTTGACTTGTTAATTATATATATAAGTTAATTCTGATTTTATTATATAATTTTTGTTATATTATTAATTTTGTGATTATACATATTTATAATGTTTTTATATATTTTTTTGCTACACTGTAAACGAGGCTCCCTCTCAGTGTACTCCGGGTTTAAATAATGGTTGACTGATTGGTCATGCTGGTTAGCCAGTGTACCAACATCCACAACACATGCTGGTTTGCTGGTCACCTGCTGTGCTAGTTTGTGCTGTTTTTTCTAGGAGGGGTTAGCAATGCTAGTGTATTAAATTAGCATCCCAATGGTGCCTCTTATTACATACATTAGCAACATTTGGTAACTATTATTTTAAGCTCTATATTGGCAACCAACCGAACATGTGAGTGTTTCAGATATGAATGTATTTCAGCCTCTTTATCTTAATCCTACAAGACAAATCTCTGACACATGGTTGGATTTCCAATTTGAGTTTGGTCGCTGTTTTCCCAGGGCTATTGGTTACACTCTGTAAGCCACCGAACACCCGTCTCTGCGTCTCAGTTTGGTTCCACAGGCAGCGTGAGAAAAATCCGAGGGAAAGCAGGTCGCCCTCAGGAGAGCCGGAGTGGAAAAATAAGTGTCGGTGTTTTAGCAGGGTTCAGGCCTAATTCCTGCGGTGAGCTGGTTGTGGAGTTTGGATCGACGTGCCATCCCATTCCTTGCATACATAGCCGTGTATGTGTTCTGTCTAAGAGGAATAAAAAATTTTCCAGCTGGGTGCCCCTGTGTGCGCCGCCAGCCGCTGGAGTCCTGAACCCAACCACCTCCTGACCAAACAAACATTTTAACACTGGCTTCTGTTCATCTCCGCCATCCGTCATCATCTTAAAGCGATAATTCAGCAAAAAAGACAACTTTCCATAACCACGCTTGCTTCTTCAGTCTTTACGATGGAGCTACAAGGCTAATGTATCTAATAAGTAACTGAGGCTTATACTTATAATTATACTTAGTACTGAGAGGACTGGACTCTATTTTTTATAAACATGGATTAAAGTATATTAGCATAGCCAAAAACAGTAGCAGCATCTAAAACCTGAATTTTATTTGTACCTTTGGACCTGTTTATAAATAACAGAATATTAGAACCTGTGCAAAAGTCACACTTTATTTATTTAATTTAAAACAAACTATATTTAAGTTCAATAGTACTCTGTCTAATTCTTTTCATATGTAGTTGCACTAGTAAAAATATATACATATAATAAAAAATTAATATACAGCCATACTCTGCTAACATGCTGCCATGAAAAGGCTACAGTACTGTTACCATTATTCAGTGTTGTGGCCTTAAATTAGAAGAATGAAGACTGACTTGTTTAGGACTCGAGGATTAGGACTATTGACCTGGGACTTGACTTGAGACTCGCCTGTACTGACTCGGGACTTGAGGGTCAAGACTTGAGACTTAGGCCCAGTCCCATTTCTTCTGTTTACCCCCACCCCTTGTTTTCGAGTGTTGCCCCTTGGAACTGAGTTACGGGGTAGTGGTTGAAATCTTCCCTCTGAAATGGGACCCTCAAATAAAAAGAGCATCACTTCATTAACAGCTACCAGCGCTGCTCTGTAGGCGACCCTGCCAGTCTGCAGTGACAGCAGAGGAGGGTAAAGTTCAGCTCCTCACTGCTGGGCTTTAGTTACATTTAGGACATCATATGATCTTCAAAGAGGGGGGCAATTATTTATTATCGCCCACCCCTAATTCTTCAGTGATATGAAGCTGAAGTCAGATATTCACCAGATTCTTGTTCGAATTTTCCCATTCCACCTTAAATGGAGCAGCAGTTACATTCTGGTGCTTCAGGCGTCAGAACTGCTGGACTATTTAAGGTGGAACAGGGAAAGTTAGTTAGCTAGCTACCGTGACATTAGCATGCTATTAGTGATTTTTTTTGCATACACTGAAACGACATTAAACTGAGATAATACAGTGGATATCAGAATTTTAACAGAGAAAATTCTCATATTTGTGGGTCTCTTTGGTCTCTTGTTCAGCCGTCTCGCTAGTTTTTCTTTTTTTCTCATATCTCTCTGTTTGGAGTCTCTGAAAAACCTCAGTTTGGAGGGTCATGTAGCCCCAACACTTCACCCCACCCCTCTATCTCAACAAGAATCAGGACACCCTACACCTAGACGGGAACGCGCAAAACGGAGGGGTAGGGCTGAGTGGTAGGGGCGAGGGGTGAAATGGGACTGGGCCTTACTTGTTACTTGAAACTGAGTGACTTGTTCCCACCTCTGGGTATGAAGCTGATTAGTGGTGTATAGGCTTCTGTTGCTTCTTAGCTACATAAGCCTTGTAGCTCCAGTGCTAAAAGCAAAGAAGCAAATTCAGACACCACCTGTACAGAAAGACTTTCACACATGAATAAAGCACACACGTTTTCTGCACTTCACAAGTGAGATGTGACTTTTTTGTAAGGCCAGACGTGTCTTGGCAGACTGACAACCTCTGGAGTAAGATGGAAAGTGTCAAGTTGATGTTTTACCAAACTATCGCTTTAATAAGCACCTCAGATGTCCAGCAAAGTGTAGAGGTGAGGAGCAGTGTGATAATACGACTGATGGCTTTAAACAGCGGCTTTCCAACAGAAACACAGCGAAGCTTCACTCAGCACTGCGGAACCTCAGACAGCACTAAATAAAGAGCATAAAAACAGAACTGTTTTCACTCTAAATCGTACGACTCGCGGGTAACCACACACATCAGCATTAAGAACCAGCCCAGGCCAAACTTCAAACCAGCCTCTTCTCAGCAAACCTCTCAAAACCTACAAAGAATGTTTAAACGTCTGTTGGCCATTAAGATGATTTTCAAACCGATGAGAGCCAAAGACGCACATTAGTGCTGCGTTCAGGTGCTCACTGGAGGACTGTTAACCAGGAAATACGACTTCAGTGCATTTGGGTGATTGATGAAAGACCAGACCAGGGTTATTAAAACTTTTCCACTAGTTTTTATTTTATTTAGTTTGTTTGTTTTTTTCAGTTAGTCTTAAGCAGTGGTGGACAGAAATGAAGTAAATGTAATTCGTTGCTGTACTTAAGTAGTTTTTCCTGTATCTGTATTTTACTGAAGTTTTTCCATTTTGGGTGACTTTTTACTTTCACTCCTACATTTCAAAGTCAACTATCTCACTTTTTACTCCACCACATTATGAGAAATTTGTCGTTCCTTTTGGTTTATGTATTTATAAAAACATAACATGTCAAAATGAAAGAAGCGCAAAGCAAGAACACCAATCAGGGCACAGCGGTCACTGTGTTTTGAGCTTGTTTTGACCTGTTGGTCATACCGACCCAGTGCAGCACACGGTTCAACATCAGCGCAGCAGCGTAAAATTTTGGGAGAGTCTATTCAACATAAATGATGAACTAACCTAACTTTGTGTAAACAGACCACAATATAGAAATATGTACTCATATGCAGTTGTGACTGACGTGTCTTTATTCTGAATTTATACAAACACATTTCATTTTATAGTAAATTAGTTTTGGCTAGTTTATGTTTATGAACAGAGACCTACAGATGCAGTTTAGTAAAGGAAACTCATTTTGTGAATCTGAGTTCAAAGTTTTATTAATCTTAAACTTGTAACTAAGTTGCAAATAAATCTTAAACTGAAACTTTGCTTGTTTGTAAAAAGTGATTTCAGAGACACTCAGTTCTACCTGATGGAAACTGTTCGCCTTCAGTGTTTTGTGCTGATGATAATTTTAATAGACATCAGCGTCACTAATTAATGACATTCTATTAAAAGACTGGTTTACCAAGAGAGACACTGGAGTATTTTCACCTAAAATGAGTTAATGAAGCGAGTCTTGTTATAAAAATGATAACAGGACATTAAAGTCATAATTAATCTTTTAGTACTTTTACTTTCGATACTTAAGTACATTTGATGGAAAATACTTTTGTACTTTTCCTCAAGTGGAGGTCTAAATGGAGGAACTTCTACTTTTACTGGAGTAATATTTTACCTTGGGTGTCTCTACTTTAACTCAGGTAGATGGTTTGTGTACTTCGTCCACCGCTGGTCTTAAGCATACATTGATAGTTTTGTTTTTACTTTTTGAACAGTAATAGTTTAAGTATTTAGTATTATGGTAAACACTGTGATAGCAGGCATTTTATAAGAGTAGTATAAAATAAACCCAGCAGCAGACTGAGCTCAGCTCGACTCCAGCTTTACTCAAAGACCAAACACAGAAACACACTTCTAAACTCTGATTCACACCAAAGTTTATTTCTCAGTCATTCTGTTTTGTTTTAGTTTAGTAGCAGACATTACAGTTTTTTACGTGTTTTTGAAAACTGTCATTTTAGTTTTGTTACAGTTAAAGCTGCACTATGTAAGATTTCATTGTTAAAACTGAAATAAGTATCATTACTGAGTGAGGAGAATATAAACAGGCTAAAATATAGTGAGCGTGAGCTGCTGTGAGTCGCCCTGTAAAGCCTGAGATCATCATTTAAAGTCAGGCGCCGAGTTTTTCACACCACGTTGTACGTCTTTACGTATTAACGTCACACACAGACTCAAAAAGAAGGTCTGACTCGATGTTTCAGCCTCAAACGATCTCAGAATCAACATCACACTGATGAAGATGTGATGAATATAGTAGATAATTCACTCACATCCTCAGAGACGCTCCTTCACCCAGTTTAGTTCTCTTTGAGCTCCAAATCCTCAACTCCTAAAGTGTTGCTTTTCACTGCTAGTTTTTGCTTTAATAATAGTGTTACTTAACTACATAATACAAAACTATGATATCTGTCTTTATTTATATAGACAGACACACAATTACACACACAGAATTGCCTCTCAATGTTTTTCAGGTTGGTCAGACACTAGAGGGCACTCCTGAGTGAGTTCAAAATTAATGAGCTCTTTTTTTTTGCTCTTTATAAATGCTTCCTCATGTTTATATATGGAGGTGCAGGTCATAAATATGTGCACTCACTAAGACACATTATTCATATGTGTAACGTACTCAGTAAAATAAAGTCATTCTGATTCTGATTATACGAGTTTACTGAACAATGGATGATTACAGGAAATAAGACTTTAGTCTTTTAAATGGTGTGATATGATGAATCGTGATTAGCATGAACAAAAAAAAACTAGTTTTAGGTTGACTTTGACGGGTTGACTGTTATTCTAAAATGTGGAAGTAATAAAGTATAAAAGAGTATAAAGAAAAGCCCTTCATGAGTAGATGTGTCCAAATGTTTGATGAGAACAAACACAGAAACACACACACACACACACACACACACACACACACAGAGATATACTCACATTACGGCGCGTGCGCACTGCACCCCCCATGTGCACGGCTGGTATTCAGGTTTTACGTACGTCTCCACTCCGTCTTCAACAACACAGCTCACCGTCTTCGTCACCACGTACGCACACCAGTTCCTGCACACACACACACACACACACACACACACACACACACAGTTAATACATTAAACTCATAATGATTACTCATCAGTTCAGAACTTCTCATAATTCAAGCCTGATTTTGTTTTATGAATTATGTTTTATTTATTAGAAACACCTACCGTGTGATTCCACTAAGTGGGCATTTTTTTAGAAATGCCTACCTTGTGCTTTCACTCACTGGCCACTTTATTAGAAATGCTTACCTTGTGCTTTCACTAACTGGCCACTTTATTAGAAATGCCTACCTTGTGCTTTCACTAACTGGCCACTTTATTAGAAATGCTTACCTTGTGCTTCCACTCACTGGCCACTTTATTAGAAACGCCTACTTTGTGATTCCATTCACTGGCCACTTTATTAGAAACGCCTACTTTGTGCTTTCACTAACTGGCCACTTTATCAGAAATGCCTACCTTGTGATTCCACTATGTAGGTGTACGGTTTACCAGCCCCCCCTACCTCATGCATTACTGAGAAGAGACCACCATAGGACCACCACTAATCAGATACTGTATGGTACAGATTATAAAAGAAGTCCACGAACAAGGAAAGTCAGAGGAAGAAAAAGCGCTGCTGTGTTTAGTGAACATTTCATACAAATCAGCACCACATAAATTGATGTAAATGGAGATTTTATATATAAAGATAGTAAATAATTTAGGTATTGATATGGAAGATGTATAATCCCAATACTGAGAAATACACACAAACACACAATTAACCTTTATAAGTTATTGTCATTTTGCTGTACATCGTTATGTATACACTTATAAGCAATTAATATATAGTTACTTTAATAATCACTTACATTTATATTTGATATACATTGTTTTGTTTGAGTCTGCACTTCCAAATTTACCCGTTTCCTGACAAAAACTTGGCAAAACGTTAAGGATGTTTGTCCTTTTCTCGCATCAAATTTAAATCATAATAAAATGATGAAATCAAAGTTTAGAATCTGTACTTTGCACAAAATGTTTCTGCTCATTTCTGTGAGTCGGAAATAATTTAATAGATTGTAGGAAGAGGCGATTCAAGGCACGAGCACCATGGAGGAGCCCGGAGGACTAACAGACTACAAATGAGAAATTTACAGTAACTCTCTGAAATGAACCATGAAAAGAGCTCCATTCATTAGAATCAGAAGCATGAAGGATTTTTCCACTGAGATCTCCAACACTAGAGTGGCAGGAGGAGCAGATTCAGGATAAAACCCACTGTTTTCCTGAGCTCAGTGTCAGATTTATTGTGTTTCTGAGTCACTCTGAGCAGATCTGTCATCTCCTGGTGTCATAAATTAGCAAATAATTGTAAGTAAACAGCATTTTTATTCAGTAAGCAGCTTTATCAAAATCAGAATCTTCTGGTCTACTGCTCTGGATCTTCACGCAGATCCAATCAGCCCTCTGTCTGGTTCTGTTTTAGTCTGCTAGCAAAATCAACAAACACCTGACCAGCATACAAGCCATCTGTCTTTAAAGCGATAGCTCAGCAAAAATCTAATTCTCCTCTTTACCCCAGATTTAGTCAGTCAGCCAAGACATGTTTAGTGCTTCTTTAGCTTTAGCGCTGGAGCTAAGAGGCTAATTCAGCTAACAGGTAAAAGAGGCTTATATTCCAACATTAGCATGGTGCTAACTGCAGTCACCACACACAAGCTTCGCAGTGTACACAGCTGTTCAGTGATCTCTGATAGACTCCATTATGTAGTTTCTGACACTGACAAAAGCACAGACACAACAACCTGACACGCTTAGCAAAAAGTGCAGAGCCCCTAACCTGACATGGTGACTACTTTAATAAGGCGTGGCCACACATTACTATACTGATGCTATGAATTACTATACTGAGGCCACAATTTACTATATGGAGGCCACAAATTACTGTATGGAGGCCACAAATTACTATATTGAGGCCACAATTTTCTATATTGGGGCCACAAATTACTATATTGTGGCAACAAATTGCTTTATTGAGGCCACAAATTACTACATTGAGGCCACAAATTACTGCTTTGAGGCAACAAATTGCTTTATTGAGGCCACAAATTACTACATTGAGGCCACAAATTACTGCTTTGAGGCCACAATTTATAGATTCAGGCCAGAAATTACTATATTGAGGCCACAATTTACTATATAGAGGCCACAAATTACTACATTGTGGCAACAAATTGCTTTATTGAGGCCACAAATTACTAAATTGAGGCTGCAAATTACTTTATTAAGGCCACAATTTACTACATTGAGGCCACAAATTGCTTTATTGATTCAACAATTTACTATATTGGAATCACAATTTACTATATTGGAGCCAAAATTTACTATATTGTGGCCACAAAATACTACAATGAAGTCACAAATTACTTTATTGAGGCCACAGGTTTCTATTTAGAGGCCAGAAATGACCATGTTAGAAACTTGTGGCCTCAATATACTAATTTGTGGCAATGTCTTATTAAAACATATTTACCATATCACCTTAGGGGCTCCATAAAAAAGGCTACTATATAGTACCAAAAAAGTTCTACGACCTGGAACATTGGTGGAACCTTTACAGGTGAAATATTTAATGATCTGTGTTTTCCATCACAGAGAGGAACTATTTAACCATGTAAAGAACGATTTATTATAAGTAATGTAGATAATGTAGTACTAATATATAAAACATTCAGTAAGCCTGAGCTTTGTCTGTATAGGAACACAGTTAGCACCGTGCTAATTGGTGTGTTATCAGCTTCCATTACTTGTTAGCTACATTAGCTCCAGTGCTAAAACTAAAGAAGCAAACTTCAGACACCGAACACATCTTGGCTTTTTTTTGCCAAACTGTTGCTTTACTATGAAGGCAGCGATTGTCCCATTCTGTCTACAAGCCGATTAGCTGCCCAGAAGTTCCTGACCAGTGCAGTTCTGTCCTGATTCAGTTTGTATTCAGCATATATTTCCCAAAAAGCTCTTATACATGAAGACAAGGGCTTCTCTGTGTGTATAAAAGGTCTCTGATGGAAAATATGATGTAATCTCAGAGGATAAATCCTATCTCTCCCAATTCATTGTCAACAGTACTCGCCCAGCCCTATGAGAGCAACATGGGTGGCATTGCATCATAAAAAGACTAGACAAAAAACCACATGTGGCATCAGCTTCTCTCCACCACACCAAGCAGGAATCATCTGTCTGGTGTTCAGAGCTCTGATCAGCAACGCTGACGTGCTGAAATCAGTTATAGACCTCTGAGAATGTGTCGCCTCAACAAGGCCCAAATGAGGAACACTTGTTTTTCTTTACCCATTCAGAAATCTGACACATGGCTATACATGCACACACATCATAAAGGGTCAGGCATATATTTCAAAATATGTGTACTTACATATAAGCATCAAATATTGGACTTACAAGCATAATATATGAACCATAGAGTACATATATATCTGACACATAGCTGCAAACATCTCAGTACAGTTATAATTGATACTACATGATCTGTTTTTAATTTCTTTTCATTTATTTCATGTTTTAACTATTTTATTGCATGGCTCTCATTATGCATGTTGTTAGAGTTTAGTTATGTAGGTATTCATTTTCACTACATTAGGACGTATGTAGAAGAAACAAAGGAGACCGTATACTATATAACATGAAGCTGAGTAATATATGCCATCCATGTATGAATGTTTTCCATCATATATTATTAAATATATGTTAGAAATACACTATATGGACAAAAGTATTGGGACACCCCTCCTATTTATTGAGTTCAGGTGTTTCAGCCACACCCATTGCTAACAGCTGTATAAAATTAAGCACATAGTCTTGCAGTCTCCATAGACAAACACTGGCTCTAAAATGGGTTGTACAGATGAGCTCAGTGACTTTAAACATGGCACTGTCATAGGATGCCACCTTTACCACAAGTCAGTTTGTGACATTTCTGCCCTGCTAGATCTGCCCCAGACAACTGTAAGTGCTATTATTGTGAAATTGAAGCATCTAGGAGCAACAACAGCTCAGTCATAAAGCGGTAGACCACTCAAACTCACAGAGTGGGGGCGCCGAGTGCTGAAGTGCACAGTGCCTTCTCTATCTGTCAGTCTGATGGACGAGTCTGGGTTTGGCGAATGCCAGGAGAACGTTACCTGCCTGACTGCACTGTGCCAGCTGTAGAGTTTGGTGGAGGAGGGATGATGATATGGGGCTGTTTTTCAGGGGTTGGTCTAGAACCCTCAGTTCCAGTGAAGGGGAATCTTAATGTTTCAGCACCAAGACATTTTGGACAATTGTACACTTCCAACTTTGTGGAACAGTTTGGGGAAGAACCTTTCCTGTTCCAGCATGACTGAGCCCCAGTGCACAAAGCAGCTCCATAAAGTCAGGCTGGGTCAGTTTGGTGTGGAAGAACTTGACTGGCCCTCACAGAGTCCCTGACCTCAACCCCATCCACACACCTTTGGGATGAACTAGAATGGAGATTGTGAGCCAGACCCTCTCGTCCAACATCAGTGTCTGACCTCACAAATGCTCTTCTGGATGAATGGGCAGAAATTCCCACAGACTCTCCAACATCTTGTAGGAAGCTTCCCAGAAGAGTGGAAGCTGTTAGAGCTGCAAAGGGGGACCAGCTCCATATTAATGCCTGTGGATTTAGAATTGGATTCATAAAAGCTCCTGTAGGTGTCCCAATACGTTTGCCAAAATTGTGTATATATTATAAATATATATGTTGATATATGTTAATATTTGAAAATGGCCAATTTCAAATACATTGGGATGTGTCACATATATGTCCATATGTGTGTAAAATAAGTTGGATATAAAGGAAATCCAAATATGCTAATGTGTGAGTATGGGGAAAAACAAAAGGCATTTTTGAGCCTTTACGCAGAACTGACATCACAAAACTGGCATCCTCCCCAAAACACCCCACACAAACCAGCAAGCTGTGACAAGTTAAGTGGTTTTGGCAGCAGTTTG